GGCTAGGGGGCCGAGCGCTGCGGCCACGGGTTAGGTTAAGTTAAGACACTTCTTGTCAGACCCATGTACAAAATTGATAGGAGGGGGGGGGGTCCAAAAATCGTATACTAGGACAGACCCTGTTTTATTATTCTAGGGTCAGGTTAGGTTAAGACAATTTCTGGGCCGAGGGCTTCGGCTAGGTCACGCTAGAGTAATATTGGTAATCTAGCTGTATAATGTATGTTTTTAATTTATTTTTACACTAACTGTGCAGTATGCATGCACGAGCACGAATGCCGCGTTCAATTTAAAACTAATATTTGATTGACTGAAATGAGTAAAAATGAAAGACGACAAATTTATCAATAATTATTTTTTTTTTTGTAAAAACTAATTAAATTGATGATCATTTATTAAAGCCAATAAAATCTAAGGAATCAAAGCGTTAAAACCTTTTTTAACGTATATTTTTAATTTTAATGTTGCAGCTGCAAACACAATTATTATCGATTGTGATTATTAATTATTTGCTCTTTTAAAATTGATCGTCTGTGATTTAATCTAAGACTCAAATCAAGATATACAATTTTTATCAGCAAATTTTTGTCCTCGACTTTTTCCATAACGACGCATATTTAATTAATAAGTTTCCAAAAAGATAGCTTATTTGACTGGAAAGGAGATTTTACCCAATCAGAGAAGAGTTAGGCTGACTGCGGACCAATCACAGGCGGCCCTGTGTCCATGACTACTTACAGGGGTGTAAATATAAAGTTTTGTAGACAATTATTTAAAACAAAATGATTTTAAAAACTCTTTTTGTTAATAATCAAATTTGAAAAATATTTTATCAATTAAATTTTAAATATTTTTTCTTCAAAAATGTCCGGTTCCCCTAGATATTTTAATGTTTTCACTTTGTTTCCTATCTACCTTTCTACCTATCTATCTATGCATGTTATTTATTTCGTTCGTTAAACCGTGATAGGCAGAATAGGCCTAGTTTAGTTTTTCATGTGCCATGGTAGCTAGGTACGCCAGAAAGGAAGTAAATAAAGCCTTCAGAGTTTTGTTTACCTTGTTTAAACTAAGCTCAACGAGTGACATTTGTTGACTTCAATTAGTTCAATGATATTTATTTAGCTGGCATTAAAAAAAAATATTATTTGTTCATTGTTCATATTTCAGATTTCGTCGCGAATTTCAAATTTCAAGATCGAAAATGGGAGACGGTGGTTTTGATCCGTGCGAGTGTATTTTCAACCATGAAATGGCAATGCGCAGACTCCTATCTTTGCTTAGGTACTTTTGGTCTATTCTAATGAACGATTTTTCAAAAAAAATAAAAGGGACTGTCCTAGAGAACGATTTTTGGATCTTCAAGAACTCACTATTCAAGCTAAACAGCAACTGAAAAATATTTAAATATAAATCAACAATCATCAAAATCCGGCTTCAAAAGCGAACTGAAAACGTTTAAAAAATTTCAGCTCGGCTGAGTGTTAGCTAAAAGGTAAAAATTCACCGATTAGAAAAAAAATCTGCAAAATCCTAAAATGTCTTATTTTAATAATGTTGAAAAAACAATTGACCTGATATGACTGAACGACTCCATCTGCACAATGGAGCTGAAGATCCTTGGCTTCAGTTTGTCGGTAAACATCTCGCAGTACATCTAGGCTCCCTTCAGCCCTAATTAAGGAAACATACTTACTTTTAGAATCTTTCTTCAAAATCTAGTCAGAAATAAATATTTTATTAAAAAACACCTCACCTACATCTCCCTAGCCTTCATACGATTTTTTAAAGGGGTTTCAACATTTCGAGACGATGACTAATCGAATATTATAAGGAAATAAAACAAATCGTCTTTAGGTCCTAGACCCCATTTTAACGATATTAACAACTCTCTTTTTATTTAATAACAAACCTTGTCATCCTTATCACTGTGTTCGACATGGTTGTTTTTCTTTGAACATCTACATTATATAACATATATGTATATCTGTAATTCAAGAACAGGTAAATTCCTATTTTGCGATTTTTTAACAGGGTGCGTTGGTACTCCATAGAGTAGGTTGGGTTTAAACAGGGTGCGTTGGGACTCCATAGAGTAGGTTGGGACTTCACAGGGTATGTTGGGACTCTGCAGGGCGGGTTGGGACACCAGAGGGTAGGTTAGAACTCCATAGAGTAAGTTCGGACTCAACAGGGTAAGTTGCAACTCCACAGGGTAGGTTGAGACTCTATAAGATAGGTTGGGACTCCTTGGGTAGGATGGGACTCCTTGGGTAGGATGGGACTCCACAGGGTAGGTTGGGACTCCACAGAGTAAATTGAGACTTTGACCCTTAATATACACGAATTAACAAAAGACAAAAGAAAGTGGAAAAGATCGAGGAAAAAAATTAAAATTAATAAAGGAAAAATTAAAGATGAATTAAAGGAATAATTTTAAGAAGGATTAAAAATTATTTAATGCATTTCCCATCGGACACAATATCGGAAAATTGAAAAAAAAATAGAAAAAAAATATTATTTTTCATTTTACAATATTATTATCAACTGTTTACTATCTAATGTGTTCTATTCCTAGTATTTTAAAGGAATGGCCTGCACAAAATTCGTTGTCATGTTTCCTTGATTCTGCTTCAACTTGGAACCAGAGGGACTTTTTCAGAATGGGGGGGGGGGTAGGCATTACGACATTAAGTCCCTCACACCTTCTATATAGAAATTTGGCTTGTCTGTCTGTTTGTCTGTCTGTCTGTTTGTATCCAATAAACGTCAAAACGGCTGAACCGATCGGGCCCAAATTTTTTGTGGGACATCTAGGGACCCCAGGGAAGGTTTATGAATGATTGAAATTTTAAATATTTGTCTCCCATCAAAATTCGATCTTCATTAAATTTTTGAAAATTTTGAAAATCCGCGAAATTTTTTGTGAAAATCCGCGAATTATTTTTGTTTTGTTTTACGATGTACACAAAGAGCACATGTTTTCACAATTAATTTAGAAGATGGGCGCGAAGCAACCTCTAAGGCTAGTTACCTTAAACTTGGTTTGCAGGGGATCGAGAGCTAAAGTGATTATCTTTCAGCCTATACCCCCTTTCATTTTTCCTTTACAGTCCCTTTAAGTCCCTCACACCTTTACCTTAAACTTGGTTTGCAGGGGATAAAATTGACTTATTGAGGAAATTTGATGAATTTTCTGAGAAAACTGCCTTGCAAAGGTTTACAAAAAGTAATCGTTTCATTTAATATCTTCCTTCATTAAAGAATGAAATATTATGAATTATTTAATCCCATAATTAAATTAAAATTAAATCCCATATTTCTTTTCTAAAAAAACATTTGGTTTGGATAATTTATTGTCCCTGGTGTAATCCACCACCTACCTAATCAAAACAATCCAAGATCAAATTACATTCTTGTGGAATGTTATTTCAGGGTTACATTTTAATGAAAAACATTGGTTTAAACTTTAAAAATTACGAGTTTTTGCGCAAAAATTAAATGTTTTTTGAGAAAAAAAATTAATAAAAAAGACAAAAAAAAAGTAGTTGAAGTAAGAAGTTAGTTCTTTTGTTAAAAATTATAATCAATTCAACTTCTTATATTGTTTCAGGATTATTGTATTTGTATTTTTAACCTAAATATTGATCCATAAAGATGTGATAAAAAAACAAATCAGATTAGAAAAAAATTCATCCCAGAATTATTCTTTCTACTTGTTTAAATGATAAAACCTAAATGCATTAATACAAAATCTTAGTTTAAAATATAGTTTTTTTTCCTTAATTTTTACGTTAATTAATGTTACATATATCAATAGAATTAATTAGGATTTGATATATATTTTAAGACAATGTATTAGGTGCTGATGGTAACTTTATGATGTTTGCTATGGTCTGGATGATGATGGCCTTCGTCATGTACTTGCTTAGGCCACAGTCCCTCAGAGGAAACAGAGGAGATGCTAAACCTCAAGGTAAAGCGACCTGTGCACTAGGCGGATTTAAAGTAAATTTTCATGGATTTTTAGCCATTGAACATTTCTCAGTGTAAGCGGATCATTCTGTATTAAAATCATAACTAAAAAAGAACAAGAACTAAAATAAATAAAACAAGAAATAATTTGCATTTTTTCATATTTTCTGTGGTTTTTAAGCTTACTGGATCTGAATCTCAATATTAAAAAGCTTAACAATCCTGATTTACGAGAACATTTAAATTTTCTGCTAGTTTAGAAACAGATGTTTTTTTGTGTTTGTAATTTTATGACTCATACTGCGCAGAACTTTAATCTATTTGTAGGTTGAAAAACATATCCTTGATAATTTTCTTTGTTTAGATTCATGATAACTGTCCAGATGTTTTCCTTCATATATAATATTACATATTGCTGAATAAAAAAAAAGATTGTTAAAAAGCCGTTTATTTTAACTTGTTAAATATTTTATATAAAAAAAACAGTTCTAGCTTTATACTGTTGGAATATGGAAGACCCAAAAAATGGCTTATTTCCGATCCCCTTCTTTGAAAGAAATTTTGTTTATTTATTTGTTCTGAAGTTAATTTTGGTTTCTGATTTTTTAAAGTTTCCCAGCAGGATTCTAAAATATTTTAGAATCTTTTTTGCTTTCCAATATTTCTAGAGTTGTAATTAAAACTAGTTCTATTCTCCAGGTCCCCAGGGAGGAGGAGGGAATCCTGAACCCCCAGCTATCAGTTAGATACAAGCATAACTCCATATCTGTGATTCAACCAGAGAAAACAAACCAACCAGGAGAAAGAAACCAACCTTCGGAACCAACTTTTATCAGCGTTAAAAATCCTCTAAATGTTCAAAATTCATCAAAACATTGAAGCCAAATTAAACCCCTTCTCTTTTCTCTGGTTTACTATAGAAAGTTTAAACGATTTTCGGACTGAACAAAATGTCGCCTCATGCATATTAGATTTAAAACATAATCATCCTTCAGCTTCATTCAGTGTTTTGCTTTCTTTAACATTTTCAAAACCGTTTTTTATCTTTAACATCGTTTTTAAACATTTAAAGTTTTCTGTCTTTTAAGAGGCTCTACACAAATTTTAAGCAGTTGTTAAAATTTTTAGTGTTCTCCAAAATTTCTACTCGAACAAAGGTATAACCGTATAAACCAGAACGAGCTAATTAAGTTTTTTCGTTTACGGCTTATAACTTGTGCCAAAGTACAAATATGACGATGCATTATAAAGCCAACATAATGAGCTTGCGACTCTAAAATGAAATAAACATCCCAGATTTCTGTTGTTCCTCTTAAAAGTTAAAATCTTGAATGTTTGAAATAAAAAACCAAGGTATGTGTCAAATAGTTCGGCTAATTTAACGATATTTCAGAACATTTCTGTTTTATGAGATATTTTATAAAACTGTATTGGCGATCCACCACCATGCAACCAAGGGTTATTCATAATTGTTAAGTGCATACACTGGATGTTTACATTTGGAATTATATTCTTGGTTAAATAGTCCTCAGTCCGTTTTGAAAAATCTTTTTGCACATAATGCCGCTGTCGTTTTAGCTAATTTTCTGAACTTCATATATTTTATTTAACCACGTGTGAATTTAAAGCAGGGGGTTTAAACTATGGCAACATTAGAAAAGTTGTATGGTTCCCTTGCTGAAAAGAACTGAATTCTCAGCTAAAAATCTAATTTTCTAATCCTTATATCTTTGCAACCGGATGGTGTAAAGCTTTGTCATGTCAAATTATTTGAAGTTCATGTAGCAGAATTCATGACACTAGGTTGCAAAGAAAATAATTTTAAAATTAGAGTAAGAGAGAGTAATACGTTCTTTTCTTCTTGATTATGATATATATAGGACAGCACTGACGACGCTGGTTTCACATTTTTACTCATCTGATATTTAAATATTGTTCAGATAGTTTGAATGCCAAGCCCTTCAAAAATTATTGTTTTTTTTTTATGAAAACAAATTATATATTGAATAGAGCATTTATATTAAGCACATCAAAATACAAATAAAATTTAATTGTATATTTTCTAAACAAAATTTAATTGGCAAATTGTATACCTTTTTATGATTGGTGTAAATGTACGTGTTTTTGTGTTTTTTTTTCTTCAGTTTTTTCGCAAAATATGATATTCAAGTATATATAATATATAAAGGATACAGTTTATACGGTTCTTCCATGCCTATACCCCTTTAGTTTTTTATATATGTTTACATATGTAAAAATAAAAGAAATTTTTATTTATCCTTTATTTCTTGATTATTGTTAGTTTGGATAAAATTGATCTTTTCAATATTTTTCAATTAAAACGAATGTAACTTGAAACCCACCAAGTTGTAAATTACAGAGAAACAGGCATACAAGATGTCAGGGATAGTTATGGTCTTCGAACAGAATTTACCCATTGTCTTGCCCGTCTTTGAAAACCAATTTTACAATTTTATAAAAATATCAAAACACTAATGTCCGAAAAACAATAATAAATCTGGAATTTAAAATTGGTAGTAAGCGTTGTACTTGTATTATTCGTATTGGTATTTGCTGAGCTATTAGGAATGTGTAGCGTATACCTCATTTTATTTACAGAGACATGTTAGTACGTTTGTTTGTGTTTTCATGTATATTACACTCGTCTTCATCCCTGGCAATAGGACTTCCTTTCCAGGTAAAGTAGCTTAACAGGGTTAGAAGCCGTAACATTTTAGCTCATCGGGTTCAAAGTCGCAAAGTTCAGTTTATCTTTTCTAATCACGAATCAAAGCAGGAAAATCCCTACAGTTGGAAACTATTTATCATTGATAAATGTCTAATGAGGGATATTTAAAACTTTTAAAGAATGGGACATAAACAACATTTTAGTTACAGTTAAATAAAAACTATTTTTTTTCTGTTCATTTCTTTGAGTTCAGTCATACAATCTCGGATGTATTTAAATTCTCGTACTTCAAGTAAACTTATCCCAAGGTCCCAAACCTTCTCTAAATCTGAATCTTAATCCGAACTGGGATATTTTTAGCTGGATACTCAAATCCTTCTCGCTTAATCTCAAAATTCACTGTGGACACTTTTAATTTGAGAATCAATGTAGATTCTCTTTATTTCAGTTATTTCCCCTTGTTACAATTACCATGATGGATATTGAATAAAGATTAAATGAATCTGCAGATTAACAGATAAAAAAAACCTAATCTGGATCCATCCAGCTAAAAAATCAAAAGTTATTTAACAATGCATATTATAATTGATTTTTCTCTCTTTTTCCAATTGATTTTTCCACTATAAAGTTGATATTAAATTATTTACCAATCTTTATTAGAGTTGACCTGTGCTTACTAAATTAATTTTAGATTGACTTTGGATTAATTTAAGGTTGACCTCTGATTACTTTAAGGTTGACCTTTGATTACTTTAAGGTTGACCTCGGATTAATCTAAAGTTGACCTCTGATTAATCTAAAGTTTATCCCTGATTAATTTAAGATCGACTTTGGATTAATTTAAGGTTGACCGATGATAATTAAGATTGATCTCAAACTAAGATAAGGTTGACATCCGATTAATTTAAGGTTAACCTCCAAATAATTTAAGGTTGACCTCTGATTTATTTAAGGTTGACCTCTGATTAATCTAAAGTTGACCTCGGATTAATTTAAGGTTGACTTCCAATTATGATAAGGTTGACCTCTGATAAATTTATGGTTAACCTCCAAATAATTTTAGGTTGACCTCTGATTAATTAAAGGTTGACCTCTGATTAACTTAAGGTTGATCTCTGATTAATTTAAGTTTGACCTGTGATTAATTTAAGGTTGACCTCTGATTGATTTAAGGTTGACCTGTGATTAATTTAAGGTTGACCTCTGATTGATTTAAGGTTGACCTCTGATTAATTTAAGGTTGACCTCTGATTGATTTAAGTTTGACCTCTGATTTATTTAAGGTTAACCTCCGATTAATTTAAGGTTGACCTTGTATTAGTTAAGGTTGACCTCTGATTAATTTAAGGTTGACCTCTGATTAATTTAAGGTTGACCTCTGATTGATTTATGGTTGACCTCGGATTGATTTAAGGTTGATATCTGGGAAAGTGTTTATGAATTGGCAAACTGGATCTATGATTCTTCAACATATGCTCAGAATCTTATTCAAACTCAAATAACAGACACACAAGATGTTATACAGACAACACTCAGAGGTTCCAGGTTTGTTTTCACCCGGTACAATTTTAACCTTAAAATACATGAAAGAATAACCAAGCTATATTTTTCCCTTTTTAATGCTAATATTGAAAAACTCGCGCTATTTTATATTTTTAAAACTAATTAGAAACATTCCCAGAGGTCTATTTAATGCATGGTGAGTGAAGTGGTTGATCCAAGTATGGCAAGCTACTTAACAATTGCTATTGAATGTACAAGTAGTAGCTCAACTATCCGTAATTACTTCTTGTTTTTTAGTAAGTTCAACCTCAAAAGGGTTAAAATTGATAAAGCATTTTAAAAGCTATTTAAATTAACTAAGAACATAATTTAATGAATATTGAAAAGTAGTCAAGTTACATATAGGTTGAACTTGAACTTGAACCGAAGTGGTTTAACTTAATATTTTTAGTTCTATTACTTGATAAGGGGACCGGGGGCGGGGCGGTATTATTTCGTTTCTTTGAAGTTTGACTAAAATTTGCACAATCGAACTTTACGAGCAGATCTGAGGTGTCTTAATTGTTGCCATGAATAAAACTATAAAGAATGCTATATTGAATTACGCACTGTTGTGGAGAAATTAAATATCAAAAACATACTATTTTAAAAAATTCCATTTTTTAAAATGAAAATTATTTTTTTACATAAATTTAACATGGGTTTTATTTTAGAGCTTATGTAGACAGTATCCAGGATAGAGTTGATGTTCAGAGACAACAAGTTTTCAAAACCTTAGGTTTATTCATGCAATTATTTTATCCAGCTTGTTTCCTGTACTTCATGAAATGGATTGTGTTCAATGTTCAACCATATTTATCACAAATTATCCCAATATAATTAGGAACAAAAATAGGCCAACTTTACAGTCAAAGATGTCCTAAGTAATAATTTTTTCAGAATAATATTAGTGTATTTGCCAGAAAACCTGGTTTCTATAAATGTAGTGAATTTTATGAAAATTGTCAGCAAGGAATAATCACAAGGAACTCTCATTGCCAAGTAATATAACAGGAATTGTTATTGACAAAATTTAAGGAGTTTCTGGGAGATTTGTGAACTAACTCAGTCAGCATTTCCCTTAGAAACTACATTACACATTATTCTATGGCCGTCCATAATGTTCAATGCTTATATCCTAAATAAAGTATAACTGCATTTTCTTGGAGGAATGCAAACAAAGCTTAACCTCAGCAGGATACGGTTGTTTACATTCCACTGCAGTACACCAGATTTTGTAAAAAGATCTATTGAATTTCCTGGTATATTTCTTGATTTTTCTGCATTTCCTAAATTTACTTTTGATAAGTAATCATAATTTATTCCAAAATGACGTTTGAGAAATTAATGTCTCTAAAATAGCCCTCCCCCTTCATACGCATCTGCCTAAAAGCTAAGCGTATATAAAGAAACCACCTCATTTTGCACTCCATGTAATGTTAAACATGCTACTTAGACGAGAATTTATAGTCCTGCTAGTTTGTCAACTTTGTTTGAATTTTACAAGAGACTGCTAAGAATAGATTTGAAGAGTACAATAATGAAGTTTATCAGGGGTACAGGTATACAATTGTTTTTTTGAAATATTCTCATTGCATTTATCTCAAATTGGATGCTTTAGGATCTGTAGACGTAATTTCAGGTCACTATCTATTAATTAAGTGCGGGGGTGGATACAGGGGGGGGGGGTGGCATGGCCTTCGAACCCTCCTGAGATTTCAGAATAGCTTCTCAATAGCACTTAAGGGAGAGAAAACCGAGTGCAAAACAGAAAAATCAAAAAACTTCGTCTTTAGCGCATCTTTTGGTTCCTAAATCTGAATTTTTGGTTCCGAAATTAATCTAGCACCCCGTGACTTGAATCCTATATCCGCCCCTGATAAAGTGGTATGTTCGATTCTTGATGGTACCCTACAAAACTGTTTGTGAATCAGATAAAGGTCAACAGGGTTCCTTTACATATAGCGCTTTTTAATGGATTGTAACTTGGAGTAAACTATCTAAATATACAGCTGAAAAGTTATTACTCCTAATGTACGACCTTACATGGAAATGTGGTTCTTTTTTAGAACCATCTTTTTTAAAATTATGCAGATGGTAAATACTCTTGCGTAGTGAAATCAGTTTTTTTAGTAATTCTAGGTAATGATAATAATAATAAAAATTTCAGATAACACCAACAGATAACACCAACAGATAACAGATAACACCAACAGATAACAGATAACACCAACAGATAATTGATAACACCAACAGATAACATATAACAGATAAAACCAACAGATAACACCAACAGATAACACCAACAGATAATTCTACCAGAAGCCCCTTCAGTTCATTTCTCATTGGGCCATAATGAGAACTGAAGTATACAATCGTTAATCAATTAATCTTTTAATTTGAGGATCAATGGTTGATCACTTCATTTCAGTTAATCCTGCAAGGTACGATTACCACGTGATATCGAAGAGGAATTAGGTTAATCCGTAGATTGTCAAAGGATGAAGATCAATGCCTAATCCCAGGAAACAAAAGTTATGATCTCTTGATCGTTTTCATATTCTTCTCGGATAAGCTTTTTCATTTTTAAATATATGATATATAAACTTTGTTAATCCATGCAGAGGAGATTTATAATAGTTAGCTATGAATAGACTTAAGGAAGGACAGGGTCGTTTTCATTTAATTTTGACGTTGACTGCTCAGAAATTGGGCTTTTTTTGATTGCAACCCTCGTTATTGTTTTCATAACAACTATTATTCTCAACAATTCTAAATCGTCGAACTAAAAATGCAACAAAACATGTATTAACCTACTCTTTATTTAATGCAGATCTGTTATACGACAAGGTGAAGATGTGGTGGTCAGGGTTTCAGACTTGTATCAAAATCTCAACTTTGATTCTGAAAACTTCAGGTCAATATCAATGGGGGAGGGGGGGGGGGGAGGTTAAATACAGTGAAACCATAACATTTTTTAAATTTAGACGACTGTCAGATTGAAGTTTTGAGTTGAACAAGTCAAATAACATGAAACACAACAATGTCGCATTTTAAACTGACCCATTTTACGTAATAGTTTTATTTGTCAAGTAACTGGTAGTTTCTCTATATCAAATACAAAATTATTTTGAAATGTCGGCCTTCATTTCCATAATCTAAAAATGTTTTAATAATGAATCATGTAAAAATATCTGCTGCGACAAAGTTTTAAATTAAGTTTTACTTCTGATTATCGTAAAACTTTCCCATCTCTGGCACTGCAGTGAGATATCCAACCGTGGAGGGGAAAAAGATCGACCTTGGAAACATTATTAATATATTTAGATTCCATGTTATCCTGGAGCAGGTTTCCCTTCCAACAATAGAAAATATCTGTGGTTTGACGGGACTTATTTGCTCAGACTGCAATAGGTTAGGTCTAACATGTGAAAATACAAGAGATGCTTCGCGTCCCTGTCAATTTTAGCTTTGAAGGGTCGCTTTTCATGTCCCTGCAGATAACGAAAACATAACCTTAAAAGGGACTGTGGAAAAAATCCTCCATTTGTTGAGTGGCATGTTAGATTCACAACAATGCTCTTTAAATCTTTGTCTGAATAATGAGATAATTATATATCATTATGTTTCCAGCTGAAACCCAATTATTTTTAGTTTTGATTTCTGCATAAAGTGACTTGGGGAGTAGATTTATGGTGTAGGGACCTTGTAGAAAATTGTCAAAATTCAATTAGGTTTATAAACTTTAAATTACTAGAAATTCAAGGCGCTTCGCGCCCTTCTTTCTAGGATTACATGTTCTTTTTGTTTACATTTTAAAACAAAGAAGAAAAAATTTTTGCGGATTTTTAAAAAAAAAATCGCGGATTTTCAAGAATATAAATTTTTTTACAAAATTAAAAACCTTAAAAAAACATTTTTTAAAATTTTTATCATTCATAAACCTTCCCTGGGATAACGCGAGGTGCCACAAAAAATTTGGGCCCGATTGGTTCAGCCGTTTTGACGTTTATTGGATACAAACATTCAAACAGACAAGCCAAATTTATATAAAGATGAAATAACAAACTATTATTTTTAAAGGAACGTACCGTAGATATAATTTTAAGTAACCTTCCATTTGTATCGTGTGTTATGTTTAATTCACAATTCTAGCCTTTGTCTGATCAGTGATTATACACGCCGAAGAAATCCACCATTTTAGCACTTAATATATATGTAGTACTGACAATCGGTCCAGCCGTTTGGCCGTCTATCGGTGATATATATAATTAAAAATGTCTTGNACTGAGATATATATATTATATATATCAAATGTTTAGAATGCACCTGGGAATCATGATGGCGAAACCTTATCTCCAAACCTCTCTCAGATGCCAGAATCTCAGAGAAGCATATTCTCTATGTGCGTCCAACCTGAACATGTTGTGAAGGAACAAATTTCAGCTGAGCCAACAAGCTATTGTCCAGATGCAACCGTGACCCGATATTCTACCACGGATTCAAAAACCCCGGTTCCAGAGTTATTAAATCCTATTTTTAGGCCAGCATTTTATTCTTCGCCAATCCCCAAAAATAACTTAAGTTTTGATCAGCAATACAACCAAGGATACGATCAACGTTATATTTCTTTCACAGGAGCAATCAATCCAACGGGTAGAAATTTAGAGCTGAATCAGAAATTAAATTCCGGATCTTTCTTACCCATACAAGCTGAGCTTAGTTCCAGTAAAATATCAAAAGTGCCTTGTCAACCGGGTCCTGAACCAAACCTACCTACTGGAATAAACTTTGGTTTAATTGAGACGGGTGAGTCAAATCATCCCCCAGACAACATTTTAAATTCATACTATCATTCAGAAACGGACGAACGATCAAATGAGAAGCCAGGAAGCGTAATCAAACCTCATCACATTTCAGTAATCGATAACGGATTAAATTTGCAAAAAGAAACTTTGAACTTGCAGCCCGAAGTTGGTCATCATTTGAAAAAGAATTCATATTATGAGAAAGAATTTAATCAGATATCAGGACCAGATCAGAATAATGGAAAATCACTTAAACAAATTGGCGAGCTTCAACCATCTGAATCAGTCTCTCGGTCAACTCAATCATTTACTCCAAGGTCAAGTTCCATGATTACAAACTCACAAATATCAAACCCTTCTGAACCTTTTAAAGTGTTCCCAGGACCCAGACTTGCTTCAGGATCAAGAGCACCATCTACCTCCAGCTCCAACCTGATTACAGGGATTGAAAATCTTGGTTTAGGTTTCACTATTGGTGCTAGAATCCAAGAGCGAGAAACTATTCTTTCTTCAGTGGTACAAACTAGAACTATATCTCGTTCATTGTATCCTCAATATATTCCTCCTCCCAAACCAAGTTTCCACCCTAAACAATCAGATAAAGAAGAAATTAAAGTTATACATTTTGGGGTTGTTTAAGTTTATATCATTAATATTTTAAGAAAAATATACTTATAATTTTTAACTTTTTGTATGCATAAATAAAATATAGATATACTAGGCTATAAGGTCGCTTCGCGCCCATCTTCCATTTCCATTGTGAACATTGTGTATATTGTAAAACAAAAACAAACAAAAAAATTTGGATTTGATAAAAAATTTCGTGGATTTTTAAAATTTTCAAAAATAGAATTTTGATGGAGGCAGATTTTGGAAAATTTGATAATCCATAAACCTGCCCTGGGGTCACGGAAAGTCCCACAATAAATGTGGGCCCTATCTATTCAGCCGTTTTAAAGTTTATTGGATACAAACGAACAGACAGACACCCAAACAAACAAACGGACAGAAAAGCACAGTATTTATGTATACAAGGCTTTTATCGCGCCCATCTTCTTTTTCAACTTTTAATTGTGGCTTTATCTGTGAGCATCTTCTCTTTGTACGGTATAAAAAAATTTAATTTGCGCATTTCATAATATTTTTATTGCGCATTTTCAAAATTTTACAAAATTAAATAAATTTTAATAAAAATATTTTAAGATTGCATATTTTAAGTCTGATTGGCCATAAACCTTCCCTGGGGCCACGTCAGGTCCCACACAAAATTTGGGCCTGATTGGTTCAGCCGTTTTGACGTTTATTGGATACAAACAAACAGACAGACAAGCTAAATTTATATATAGACTAGCCTTAGAGGGCGCTTCGCGCCTATATTCTAAATTAATTGTGAACATGTTCTCTTTGTGTACATCGTAAAACANCAATGAGTTTTATACTATATTGCGTAAATTTCAGTATTTGCGAAAATAAATAAATAGCCATGAATATGCGGGAACAGTTTTAAAGAGTTCCATATAATCATTTAATTAAAAAACTAAATATCTGCAAGATTCCATTATCAGAAAGTGAAGAATACAACATTTGATGAATTCTTTCGATGTATTCGTTATTAAGGGTTTCACTGTACAAAAAAAGTTAAACCACTTTAAAAAAAGCTCGTCAGACGTACAGCCTCGTTTTTTAAATTTCTTTGCCATGTATTAAATATCAAAAATCAAAGACAACTTTCATGTCGTCTCTCAATTCCCATGTTTATTGGGACACCCTGTAAAATCAAAGACCAAAGCGCTGCCACGTTTTAAACTTGATCCAGTCTTGATTGTTGATGATATTGTTTATATTAGTATGGTATGTGACAAAGCATTAATACCTTTTCCCGTGGTATATGTATCTGCACCCCCCCCCCTTATATACTGACACTTGGGACCAAGAAATATATATTTGTTGCTTGGGACCCCCAGCTCACCTCTAAAACTAATCAACACTGATTGATTAGTTTAATTAAATATATATATATTTTGTCCACCCATCTCCTCTTAAACATACTAGCTGCAGGAATAAATTATAACTCAGCGCAGTATGTATTTTGTTCTTTAACTTTATAGGGTGCGGTGGGGGGGGGGGCCTGAGTGGGGAGCGGAAACGAATGTATAGTTCCTCCCCCCACTGCTCCACCCCCCGATTCATGTATGTTTGAAAGGGGAAACGATAGTGACATTTTACATTTATTAATTAATATAAAGTGTACTCTGAACCAAGGTTATGTTTACCTGGGTGTCTATCTATATATCTATCTGCCTGGATTGGGTATACTCTCACTCCAACCTGCCTATAAAGAAACTTAGTTTCACCTGGAACTTCACTAAACTCTCATCAGACCTTTAACAATCTGTTTTTTCATCAGGCTCAAGTAATACTCTGTTTTTCAACGCTGACAAGGCGAAGTACTTTAAATAGCATATTCTAGTCGATCCTAGAATTTGTGAACAAGATGAAAAATGAAAGCAGCATATAAAACGTAAATCGCAATTGTAGTATATCTTTTCTATATACTTTAAGATTTTGCTTAAATCTATACTTTTTTAACTGTGTGCCTACGTAAAGCTAAAAACTCGTACTTTAGGTTTTGAGTTTTATATAAAAATGAATGTATTTCAATATAATACGAACGAGACATTTAAACATAGAAAAGTCTAAAAGCACGTACAAAGCTAAACGACTAAACTCCAGTGCAGAAAACAGATATAAATTCAATGCTCGGCTCGGGCCGGGATATCTTTATTATAAGATAAGATATAATTTATTGCTAAAAATACACATACAAGTTATAATGTTACAGGCAAAAAATCTGCAACTATTTTTATATTGTTTACTATATTTATTTAACTCTAGCAATTAGTTGGAGATTAGCTATTTGCTGTTTTGGGTATTATCCCCACCTGATTAATATTAAAACGTTTACAATATGATGAATATTACTAGGTTTTGAAAGTTTACAATAAATCATGGATTACTAGTTAAATATAGAGAGACCGAGGTGCAGCATAACAAAATAATTGAATTTTCAGTTTTAAGTTTAGAACGTTTAACAGAATAAGATTAAGCATGTACAAAAATCTACAAAGTTCTATATTCATTTTTTTGCAAGAATAACAAAAGGGTTTATTGCACTTTGAGATGTAGGCGTCAGATAACATTTTAAATAAACTGTTTTTAAAGATACCAAACGAGGCACTTCTTTTTAAATCAAGTGGCAGTTTATTCCATATATTAAGAAGTGCATATGAGGGAAGATCTTCTAATGAGCCTGTATTTAAAATGTCAATTTGATAGTTAAGATATCTTTCAAATTTGATAGTTAAGATATCTTTCAAAATTTCCGAGTTTTTTAAAAGTGTTGTTAAATGAGGAGGGTAGAAGGTTTTTTGTGTATTTATAAATAAATGTTGCTTGATTAAATTCAGTCAAATCATCTAGCTTAAGGATTTTATACTAAAAGAAAAGAGGATCAGTATGTGAAGCTGTTTTTGCATTTTCAGTAATTCTGACTGCACGTTTTTGGAGCAAGCTAATTTTTTTCATTTCAGGACTTTTATTTCTCCCCCAGGCTGAAATTCCATATTCTACAAATGATTATATTTTTTTAGGGAGAGAAACTTTGAATAATAAACAGCTATTCTGAAATAAAATGATATTCCAATTCACCAATTCCAACTGAATGAGTGTTGTTTTATATATAGTTTAGTTCCTTCGAGAACTGTGACGAAAATTCCTTCATAAACTTGACATAGATTAGACTTCTCTTGGTAGATAACAAAACATTAACGGATTGCAGGTTGATAGAGAACAGTGGGAATAGTATTAAAGAGTTGAAAAATTATTGTAAACTGAAAATATATAATTAGATAATTTGGCTAATTATATTCTTAAACGAAATGAGCTAGAATGAAGTAACGTAACCTGCTCCGGGCTGTGCTCCGGGTTTTGTAAGTTACTCTGCGGAGTAGGCTAGGCTTACAGCTCCTGCACATATGTGTAACATGTGTAGTCTTGGCCCAAATAGTTGTCACTTCTCTGGCATCTTCAGTAGGGGGGTTAAATAAAATCTTATTTAATTCTTCATTTCATTTAACTAAAATGTATAAAAATACCTACCCTTTAAGAAGATGGTTTATATATTAGAAAGGTTTTTATTTTTCAATCCTTCGGCCGATTTTAGGTTTCAGATTTCATATTTTTCAACATCCTACTCAAACTCCGCCCATAGAAAAATGATCAGGGAACCTAACCGACCTTGTCTAGTTCATAGAGTTCTCTCGTTCTGAAATTTAAGAAAATTGTGAAAATAGTGAGAAAATAAAAACTAGGTTTCGATCATTACAGAAAAATGTGGAAATAGTGAAACGTAGGAAATAATACAGGTTTCGAATTGATTTCAGCTATTTGAGAAAAATGTACTTCAAATATAAATCGAAAACACATTTCAACTAAAAAATTTAATACATCTGAAGTATAAAACAATAATATATTTTAACCATGGACATAATAAATTCCAACTTTGATAATCTTTCTTGTTATAAAATAAAAACAAATTTTAATTATTTCATAACACATTTCATCAATAAAATAAGAATACATGCATCACTTATCAAATAATGATAGATGAATTTCGAAATCTGTATTTTTTCCTACTTTTATCTAAATTACAGGATCAAGTGTGAATAATGTGTGTGAAGTATATTTTAATTACAGCCCTTTTCTCCATACTCCTGCAAGGTAAACATTTCCTTATTCGTTGCAAAATGTTCCCATTCTTCCGAACTCAAAGCAATTGAGTCTTTGCAACAAACTCTGATTTTGATATTTTAAACTATTATCATTATTAGACCAAATAATCTTAAATTGAAATATAGTTTGACAGAGGCCGAAGAATTTGAGCCGCGGCTTAAATTTAAGCCGGGGCTTAAATATTGATGGTTCCACTTAAAATTGTATTCAAGCTTTCAGTAATTAAGCCGGCACTCAATTTTTGTTTTGGGAGATTTGAGACGCGGCTTAAATTCATTAAATTCGGACACAGGCTACAACAAAAGGTTGCAAAGACTCAATTCCTTGAAACAATATCGATGCCAATTTTGTCCAATATACTAACAATTTTATTTTCACTTTTCAGACATTTTAAAGCCTTTATATTTTAAGAAGAGTTTTGTATTTTAAGATAACTGTAACAAATCATGGCAAATGTTCAAGGGAATTTTGCTATTTAAGCAAAGGGGAAGCCGTGGCTTTTAAAAGTATGCAACCAAGGTGTAGTCAGCTGGTTTATGCATTCTGATAATTATTAATAAACCATGGTATAAGTATGGTATACATGTATATAATCATAAATAATTATGACATAACAAAATCATATTACATTTTTGACTCAGATATTTAGATTAATTTTGTTATGTATTAAGTTACTCAAAAAAAATTATTTGAAATGAAAAAATATGCATAATGTACATTTACAATATTTAATTCAGATTTTGTTTTTTTCCCCAAAAATTAAGGGTGGAGTGCCTTTAAACTGTTGGTTTGGTTACGAAAACTGCTGCACTAAATACATATTTTATTCATAATTTTTTTCCTGACCAATATCGAAATAGAGAGTAAAGTGGCTGATTAGATATTGTTATGTAGGTTTTTAAAAAAGCTAAAAAACATATCGTGTATAATTATTTTTACACCTTACATTCTTTTATTAGAATTGATTAATTGAAAGAACTAGGTTTAAGAAGATGTCAACAATTGAACAGAATTTCGGAACAAGAGTTAAAATTCGTTCTCATCAGTTCAGAGTTGATGGCGAAGCTATGATCTCCAAAGTAAGATAAAAAACATCATTTTGGTGAAGGACTCTATGGTATTAATAAACACGTATGCATGCAGCACCTTGGCCGGAGATGTCTACTAAACAATGTAAAGGATGTTTTCATGTCTGTATTTCAAAGTTTTTGCCAAAAACTCTGATTTTCATATATCTTTGGAACCCGATGTCGTACACCTTTTATATTTCAAACTATGAAATTCTCTTAGATCAAAGTCTAAGTTTGAAATATTAAAGGTTTGGGACATAGGGTTCCTAAGATATAGGGGTTACGAGTTTGTGGCAAAAAACCTAGTTCCTTTTTATTTTTATTTGAATTAAAACTCTGCTTTTGTAAAGTTACCAAAAAGTAGAAATTTATTTGTAGTGCTATCTTTTCTTTGATGTTGCTCTGTTTGTCTTAAAAGTTCAATTTCGAGAAACGACGGAGTTGACAGTAGTCTATACACTATTTACATAGTGAAATCTTACTTGTTCAGTTTTTCTTCAGGTTTAAAAAGAACCAATAACTGTGAACTTAAATATTCAAATTATAACTGGAAAGTTGATCAGGATTTTTTCAAATACAATGTTGAAACTAAAGCTATAAACAATCGGTTTGAAATCTGTATGTCAAGTACTACAACAATCCTTAAGTTGATTTACCACGTCAAACCAAAGGAAAAGGTCTGATGTCAATACAAAGTCGGCTCGGTTTGAAATCTGTATGTCAAGTACTACAACAATCCTTAAGTTGATTTACCACGTCAAACCAAAGGAAAAGGTCTGATGTCAATACAAAGTCGGCTCGGTTTGAATTTTTAATGCATAGTTTAAATTTTAATTGTATAGTCCTCTATCTATCGTCCTCCGTAGTTCCCTGCAGGTTCCTTGGCTGACCAATTCTACTTAGTTGTCAGAAGTTCTTTTATATAGTCCTCATACTCTCTTTCTTACGTCCCGCCCCCCAGACTTGTAACTGAAGACTAGAGGTTTTAGGAAAAGGGAGATCTAAATCCTCCGACATTTTAAGTACTGTTAGCCTCAAAAAGTAACGTGATAGGATAGGGGGGAAATCTAGGTAAAACAAAAAAAAATATTTACGTTATTATTTGGGCAAAGCGCCAAAACATTTTTTCACTTCGATTTCAAAGAAGAAGAAAATCAGCACATTACTGTCCTTTCATTAGTGTAATGGAACTAGAATCAGCACATTACTGTCATTCCATTAGTGTAATGGAACTAGAATCAACACATTACATGTCCTTTATTAGTGTAATGGAACTGGAATTTCAAAGGATTTTTAAACACCTCTCTATATCCTCTATACAATGTTTCAGTTCGTGGAGATCAGTATCTCCAGTTGAACAAGGGCGTATACAGGGGGGGGCAAGGGGGTTAGTGCCCCCCCCTAGAACTCAGAGCTATCACATTTTTTTAAATCTGAAACTGAAGAGTGAAGACCATAAAAAAAATAGTTTGCTGTTTTTTCTGCTAGTTTTGTTTGAAGAAGAGATACAGTAGTAATTGTAAGGTAATTGGACTTTGTGTACCGTTGAAGTATCCAGGAAGCCAAATTTTTTGAATTTACAGTTCAAATTTAACGCTTCGATCATATTTCACCCCCATCCCAGATTCATTTCTGTCTACGCCATTGAAATAGAAGTTTTAAGACGTTATACCGAAAATATGAAATTAGCATTTTTGTTCGAGTTTATTATTTATTAGTACTTATTAAAACGTACTTAAAATAATAACTCATGTAATCTTGTATAAGTTGTTAAAATATATTGATCTCGAAACGACATTAAATGCTAAAATTAGGTTTCGGTTGGTGGTGGAATTTGGAAAATATTAAAATCCGACAAATAATGCTTTTATGTTCAGGATCAGCTGGTTACACTCCAGTATCTCAGGGTTGTGATCAACGATCATGCTATCCAGCCACTGGCAATCTTCTCATAGGACGAGAGGAGAAGATCTCATCTACTGATACCTGTGGACAGAATGGAAAGGTTAATTTTATAAACGATTTTAGAATAAACGTATTTTTTATAGAAATAATACAGTTTTCGCACAGTAATGCAACCAGTTCGAAAAAGTGTGTAAATTTTTAAAACAGCTTTAACTGAAATTATTTCAATGTAATGGTTATGGGCTAGAATTATAATATTTTTAGTAATTTTTTTCCAAATGAATTCTTCTTACAATTTATTGCTATAAAATGTTACTGCTATTTATAAGTACGCAGTTTTGGAGTCAGACCTGGGTTCTAAAACCCAAATTATTACATATTTCCTACCATTTATTTCTCAGAGCCGGTATTGTATAATTTCCTCCTTGGACCCCCATACTCTTGGTGGAGGGTACGCTGACCGCAGAGATAAATGTTATTGGTGCGATGCATCAAACCCGGTGAGTAGAGTCAATATTAACGAATATTATAGAGTAAAAAAGGAATTGAATTTATGCCACAAACTCTAATTTTCAAATTTCAATATCGTTACAGCCCAATGTCGTAGACCTTTAATATTTCAATCTATGAAGGCTATTAGAACAAATAATGTAAGTTTGAAATATCAAAGGTTTACATCATAAGGTTGCAAAGATATAGGTTTTACAAAAACTGAATTTGTGGCAAAGATTCAATTCCTTTCCCTTTATTAATTAATTAATTAATTAATTAATTAATTAGGAGGAGTCTCATGAGGTTCGAAGTATAGTTCATCGTTGGGAACCCCCAGAGGCCTCCTCTAGGGCGGAGCAGAAGATGACCTGGTGGCAGGCCAGCAATGGACAGGAGAACGTCACCTTGCAGCTCGATCTTGAGGCAGAGTTTCACGTTACACATATCATCATAACATTTAAAACTTTTAGGTAAAAAGGGAATTTAATTGTCTTTGTCGTGTCAAAAGCTTTCACCCTCCTAAACATTTCCACTGAAACACTGAATAAAATTTTAAAAATACATTAATATATACATTAATTCTGTGTGACAAAAAACAAATTCATGATGCATCAAATTATTATTTGATAGATCAAAGTAGGATTAAATGTGTAAAAAGGTTGTTTCTAAATTTTAGTCTATTGCTCATTGTCCATAAAATTTTCTAGGCCTGCTGCGATGTACGTTGAAAAATCTTTTGACTGGGGAAAATCTTGGAAAATTCACAGATACTTCTCAGCCAACTGCGACAAGGACTTCCCTCAGATACACAAAGGTAGATTGTGAAGGGTGAAAATTTTCTGCAATTCTATTCAGTTAAAAAGATTAAAACACAGTCTGTAGATAATCTTATGTAAAGATGTTGAAATGAAAACGGTTTAATTTGAATTATTATTTTTATTACTCTTTTGAATGCAACTATTCTTGGATATTAATTAAATCAAAGCGCCCTGGTTCAGATATTTGACAGGGTTTTTTTTGCGTTAACGTTTAATTCTCTTAACGTTTTTCCCTTAACGTTATTACATTCTAGACGTTTTCAAGTAAAGATTAAAACAAGTGAAAATCTCAGTTTTTTAAGAAACAAATCTCGCTACTAGGGGTTCCCAGACACCTTGAAGAAACAGTTTGTCAAGAGAGGTATTCTAGAATCAGTCCTTCTACAAAGGGAGAGGTGATATTATTCAAAACATTACATCACTATTCATTTTAAAGTTTTTACGTTAATTCTCAAATCTTTAAATTTCGTAAAGATCAATTCAATGCGAAATTCTATAAAGAAATTACTAATTATAAAAAATGTCTAGTTACATATATGAAAAGTGTATCTCATTCTAATAAATATAATTCAAAAAGCTGAAATATGTTTAGGTTATTTATCGTGTTCTACCTCCAAGTATAAACATTCACTCTCCTGGTTTCAATCCTTACAGTAAGGAGGTTCAAGATCTTCTCAAGACAACAAACCTGAGAGTAACATTTACCAGACTTCATAAACTTGGAGACGAGAGCTTGGATATGAATCCCGTAGATATCAAAGAAAAGTAAGTATAAAGAACATAATGCTAAAAAATTTAAAGATCTTTAAAATATTGAACAAACAAGAAATACGGTTCCAGAGGGTTTTTAAATTCAAGAATTTGTTAAATGTTAAATTGAAGAATTTAACAGTAATCCAAAAGTTTCAAGCTCTCAGCAAGCAAAAATCGATAAGAATTTCGCCAATTACTCCTTTAAAACTACAGCGAAAAACAAGCTATTTAAAGTTTAAAGTATACTAATTCATTATTTTTAACAAATCAGAAATTAAAATCAAAAGTTAATTTTAATCTTAATTTAATTTAAAGGAACCGTAGGCGTAATTTCAAGTAACCCTCCATTAAAAGGGAGAAATGCCCGATATACAACAGTACCATATAAACCTTTGACTATTCATAGAGTACTGAGAGCTCCGTGTCTAAATTTCTCGAACAACGGTTGAATTGCTGTAAACCCCGGTGTACGCTGAGTGCAATGTGAACTCAAGACAGCTAATCCAGTACTTGAGTCTCTGAAAAATATAAAATATATTACGTACAAAGAGGTTTTGAAATATTAGAAAGTAGTTTAGTTTCTGCCACTTACACTGAAAAGTTACTATTTATATTTCTTAAATATCTAACAGCTTGCAAACAATGTGTTCAACAATTAAAAGTTTTCAGTAGATTAACAGAGATATGTCCGATATCCTTGATTTGAGGGGTACTGTTGGGAATCAGACACACCACTCTACAAAGTGAGCTTGGGTTGCTTGAAATTACGACTACAGTCCCTTTAAGATAAAAAATTGTTTAAGAAATATAAAAAAATTGGAGAAAATCCAGGAACCAATTAAACTTTATAACACAGTGATATAATGTAGAGCTAATCTAAAGTTATACATTATTGCAAGATGATTACTTTATAGCTGAGTGCCCGGCGTTGCCCGTGAAACAAAAAATTGTTATTTAAAAAAACAAATAAAAAATTACTTTAGCCTATAGTACCCCCGGGGTACTCCATGGTTCCCTCAAAAAGTTTGAACCCATTCGGTCCAGCCGTTCAGCCAGCTATAGCTGACATATAAATACATATACAGAGTGTTTCACGAAACATGACAGTTGGTGAATAGTTTGGAATGTCTTCTTCCATAATTTGTTAAGTTGTTTGATACCAAAGAAAATAGTAAAAATATTAACATGTTAAAATTGAGTTCAACGTGAAATATATTTAAGCAAAAGATTTTTTTTAACAAAATAAACTGCTAAAAGCCTTTAATATCTAATACAGTATATGGAAGACAAAGTTCATAACTATGTTTCAACTGTCATGTTTCGTGGGACACCCTGTATAAACATATATATGAGCGAAGAGCTTTATTATATAGATAAGTTAGCATGTATGCTAAAGTTTACAATAGTTTCATAAAAACAATAAAAAAGTCGACACAGGTTTGAAATAAATACAAATTTTCATATCAGCCTGGATCTATCTATCTGGATATATCAGCCTGGATCTATGTGATTTAAATTACCAAGTCAGCGCTTTATTAAAAGTTACTGAATTTACCTTCAATATAAAAAACACGTTTCTAGGTACTACTACTCAATATACGACATGATAGTGCGAGGTTCATGTTCTTGCTACGGACACGCTGACAGGTATCAAATAATCTTATAATACTGCCAAAAAATTTAATATAAGACCAAAAAAAATTAGGTTCGTCATGTTTAAAATATTTTAGATGTTTACCGGAGAAACCCGAACATCAGGATATACCAGGGATGGTTCACGGTACTTGCGAGTGTTCACATTTCACCAAGTAAATATACTCTTCAGCATAATTTTAGCTTAGTTTCGTTTGTTAAAAGTATTTTTTTTTAAGTGGACGGCAAATATTTGTAAAAATGATGAATGAAAGCTCAACCTAGGTACAAAAAATATAGCACAACTTAGATCGGTACTATATATATATATAAAGTAGTACTCTCTGTATGGTTGTTCATAACTCAAGAACACGTCCCTTCACCTATCTAAAATTTTAATTAGGGTAACACGTTAAAACAATGCACTAAATTGTTCCTATAAGCTTGGTTTAAAAATTCTAAGCTAAGTTTGATATCTTTTAAAGTTAAAGTTTGGTTTTCCAGGCAAATTATATTGGCAAGCTACAGGGTGTCCCAATAAACATGTGAATTGAGTAACGAATACTAAATCGTCTATTTAAGAAGCAGCACTGTAATACCGGATTTTAAAAGTCATACTATAATTATGTCTGCTAGAGAGAGATTATTTTATGAGAACGGTAAAAGACTTTGCAGATGTTGTGAATGTAATTTGTCTGCGCAAGATGAAGAGTGAAGACGGACTAGTTTACCAGATAAGAAATGAACAGTTTTTAATTTTAGAGGAAACAATTGTGAACTTTGTATGGACTTTTACCATGATATGCCTTGGAGGCCTGCTACAGGTTAGGGATTTCAATACAAAGGAGCTGAGTTTTTGCCGCAATTCAAATTTTCTCTTCCCTTTATCAACCTGAAGGTGCAAACCTTTGATATTTAAAACTTAGACTATTCATAGTTTGAAATATCAAAGATCTACGACATTGGATTGCAAAACTATAAGGATTGAAAAATTTGAGTTTGTGGCAAAAACTCATTTCTTTTTAAGTTTTATATTACCCATATATTTTTTAACCCCATTATAAATAGATAGGGTTTGAATGAAAGGAATTACATATTGAACTTACAAAAGAATATTCTATTTAAAATGAATATATCTAAGGCTACAAAAAAGTATGAGAGAGTATGGGAGGTAGAACCAAAGCCCAAGGCGTTGCGACACCTGAAAGTAAATCCTATCTAAAACTTTGATAAATAACTTTCAGAGTTATAGTCTAGATTTCAGAGTATAGTCTAGATTTCAGAGTATAGTCTAGATTTCAGTGAGGTTTCTCTGAAGTCTAATCCTCGTGATTAATTAATTTATAACAGGGAATCGCTTGGGGTGTTCTGGCCCCCAGTTTAAATGTTTTATACTATTTGCTTTATAGGTCGACAAAAAAACGCATGTAAGAGATGCAACTGCAACGAGCATTCAGATAAATGTCACTTTGATGAAGCAGTTTGGGAGGTAAAAATATATTTTATGATCAAAAAGTTAAATAATTCTATTTGTTTAATAAAGGCTACAGGGTTGACAAGTGGTGGAGTGTGCGAGGAATGTCAACATAATACTGAAGGAAGACAGTGTGAGAGTTGTATTAGTGGATTCTATCAGGTATATACAACTTATAGAATATCAAAATACATCTTTTCAGAATAAAAACATCAAATTTATCAATTTTAAATAAAAACATCATTAAGAAAATAAAAGTGTATTTTTCTACAAAAAGTTATTTTTCTGTATGTAGAATCCTGAAGTACCTCTATCAGATCCGTATGTTTGCCTTGAATGTGATTGTGAACCTGAAGGTAATGAAAGAACCAACAAAAAGTGAATATGAAATTTAGATTGATTTCAGTTTTTACCTCTAGAATATCCGTAAAAACATGCGTAAAAACATACGTAAAACATACGTAAAGACATGCGTAAAAACATGCGTAAAAACATACGTAAAAACATACGTAAAAACATGCGTAAAAACATGCGTAAAACATGCGTAAAAACTCTCCTTATCGTGTCAAAATATACCATAATGTTCCAACTAACCTACTTTGACAGAAGAAGGTCTGATTAAATATTTAATTTTAAACTAAAGTTTATTTCAGTTGGAAAACTTGCTTGTTTTCAAACATAACTCCTTTTTCTAAAGATCTCTAGATAAGAAAAATATAACATAAAATGCAACCCAACAAAATAAAAAGTTTTGTTCTGCAGACTCTAAGATGTAAAATAAAAACTAGAGAATACGAGGTCAAAAAGTCTTACTATTATTTCATAAAAAAGATGAGTTCTTTATGAGTACTTATTTCGTAGATTATTTACAATTAAGATGTTTTTAATGATTTTTACGATAAATAAATAAAAAGATTGTTAAATGTTTAGGAACTGTAGATGGAGGTATATGTGATGGTAGGACGGACCCTGTCGAAGGAACTGTAGCAGGTCAATGCCATTGTAAAACTTACGCTGGCGGTCCAAGATGTGACAGTTGTTTAAACGGTGAGTAGAATATTTTTTTTTGCAACATAGGAAACCAAACTTCAAGAAAGACGGAGAAGAAAGATACTCTTTTTTGTACAGTAAATCATGGCATTTAAAAAGATATTTTAAACAGATTAAAAGAAGTTAAAACATGCATTAAATATATATATTAAGCTTGTCTGTCTGTTGGTTTGTCTGATGTTTAGTATCAAATAAACGCCAAAACAAGCGAACCGATCCGGCCCTTTAATCTTAATTTTATTATGAATCAATCTTTTTTTATTTATTATTTATTATTTATTATTTATTATTTATTATTTATTATTTATTATTTATTATCTGTAAGAAATGTTTATTGTGTCCCAAGAGACACAAAATTCTATGAACCTAATCTGTTTAAGGATATTGGAACTTTACAAGTGAGAATCCTGATGCATGTCAGGAATGTACCTGTAACACTCTCGGAACCGTCAGTCTCGATGGATGTCACCAAGAAACAGGTTTATAAAATTTGCAGACAAGAAAATATTATGTAAAGAATAGATAGGCCACCCCACAAAAGAGTGACCAATGATCCATATTGAACACTGAACACCTTTGATTCGAGAGTCTTTAAAATCATCTATATATATAAAGTTATAATCTCTGTTTGTCTGTTTGTTTTGTTTGTATGTCCGATCAAAACTCATGAACCCCTTGAACGATTTTCCTCAAATCTTTATTGGGGAACTCGGGAGAACCACGGGAATGTTTTCAGTTTGGTTTTGATAGTCTAAGTTAAGTGGATAGATTTGAAAGGATAAATTAGTTTCCCGGTAAAATTGACCAAGTGCGGGTAGACGGTGGGAGTAACTATGATTAACATTGGCAACGCTGGGTTCCCAAGCTAGTATATGTATATTGTATATATCATATATTTATTAATTGTCACTCTGCAGGAGAATGCAAGTGTAAGAGGAATGTGATTGGTCGGGACTGTGATCAGTGCCGTCCAGAGCACTTTGGCCTTTCTAACGATATCAATGGATGTAAACCATGTGATTGTGATGTTGGAGGATCCTTTGATAATAATTGCGACGTGATGACCGGCCAATGTGCATGCAGACCTAACATAAAGGTATACAAAACTAAGATTTATGATAAATGTAAAGTTGTACCTCTTAGATTAGTTTTTAATCATGTTAGTTTTAGGGACGAAGATGCGACAGAGTCGAAGATTTCTACTATACTGGTCCTCTAGATTATCTTCTTTTCGAGGGTGAACTTGCACATGGTTCAGATTCTCCAACAAAAATTACAAGAAAGAAACCTTCAGAAATAGAAGGAGAAACAACCTGGACTGGTTTGGGATACATGTTGGTTTTCGAAGGATCGACACTTACATTTGATGTACCTGAAATTCACAGAACAATAAACTATAATCCTGTGATCCGGTATGCTCACCTCCCGACCCATCCTGACACTTGGGAATCCGTTAATGTTGAGTTGGTGAGGATAGACGGTCCTGCTGACCCATCTGGCGACTGTTCCCAGGCTGAGAACGGTCCTATACCCGTGAGTTTGCCCAAGGGTAATATCAGTCAGGAGTTACCATCTCCTTTCTGTCTGGAAAGCGGTCAACGGTATCAAATTAAGATGACTTTTAGTCAATATGATCCAGCACAGCCTTCTCAAGCAAACATCTATATAGATTCGGTAAGATTATGATGCAAAGCGTAGTTTGGTGCTATTTTGTTATTAGCATTCAAAATGATTCTGAAATAAGAGGGTTAAAATTCAGGATGGTATTACAAGTTTATTCGTTTGAAATACTGTTTCTAGGGACAGAATTTAATCAACTGGAGGTGGAGAGGTCGTTAAACTTCATATCGACAGTTTAAATTATGAATAACCAATTAAAATCATAATGAATCAAACTAACTTTGAATCGTGATTCAAGATTTTAACCAGCGTAGATAGTTTAGATACATAATTCATTAAATTCGATCCTATGTTTGTTTTAACGTGTTTTTTTGGTAGATTGCTTTACTTCCTGAGATCGATGATATCCCATTCCTTAATCCATCATGGGAAGATCCTGTCCTAAAGCGGGAGAAAATATGTAAAAGCAGAGAAATGAAAAGAATGGAGCTACAGGATAGGTTGGACGGGTCTGGAAATGAACTTGATCCGATGGAAGATGCAACAATGTTAATTAATGAGGCTGGACTTATCACGAACGAAGACTGCAACATTGATCCTGAATCAATAGACCGGTAACCTAGCCTTGTACGATGTCATATTTTTGTTGGTTTAGAGAGATCTAGCAAGAAAGGTTTAAACTTCAATTTACCTTATGAGTTAATACATGGCTTTCAACTACAGACTGATAGTTATTCAACATGTCTAACTTATTATTATATTCTGCGTATCAGAATTACGTATGAACAGATTTATCTCAATAATTCTATCGCAGGATGTCGATAGGATGGAGTCCAGGACCAGATCGTGCTGCAGAAATGAGAGAAGTCTTCGACAGATTAAATTGTAGAGAAAGGTTCTTAAATGCAAAACCATCCAGACTTGAACCGATGCCTAAAGACTGCGAAGAAATACTTTATTCGATCTCTTTTTTTGCATTCGAAGGTAAAAAAAAAACATTTATTTTAGACTGTTTGATTCTAACGCTCTTAATATCCATCATTAAATTTTCATTAATATTTCAATAACCTATTCGTTTTCAAAAATAAATAAACGTTTTTAGAAATGTAAAATAAGATTTTGTAAGGTGCATTCTCCCGTCCGTGCGAGTGCAGTGGGACTGGATCTCTAAGTAAAAGATGTGACACCTACTATGGTGGATGTGAGTGTAAGACTCAAGTTGTTGGACAGCGGTGTGAATCCTGTGCTCCAGGTTCCTATGGATTCAGCAGTAAGGGTTGTCAACGATGTGAATGTCATTACCAGGGATCACAGGACGAATTTTGTAACCAGGTAAGAATTATTGAGATATTAATTGTAGGTTTTCGATTGGGCGTGTATTCCTTTAGAATTCCTTTAAGAGATCTAGCTTCCTAAGAAGCTAGAGTACTAAACAAATACTATCTGATACAAATTAATATGAATGAATCTTATGATGTCCCAAAGTTTTATTTAAACTAAGTGTATAGCTTTTCACTCTTGCAGCACGAAGTTTAACTCCATTTTAATAAAAAGTTTTCAAATAAATGATTCTCTGTCATTTTGTTGAGAATGCTTTCAACTAGTTCTTTCAACTAACAAACTCTCTTTAAAAATCACCCCTCTTCACTATGAATATTATTTTATTATTAAGGAAACAGGACAGTGTAACTGTAGAAACAACGCTTATGGAAGACAGTGTGATAGATGCAAAACGGGATTCTGGAATTTTCCTAATTGCCAACAATGTCAGGTATAAATACGTAAATAACACTAAAAACAGAACCATAAATTCTAAATATTATTTAAAGAAGTCATTCTTAAAAAGTAGTAATAAAATATTTTTTTAAAAAACTAATTTCATTTAAACTGTATTTTCATCTAAATTATATTTTTTGTTCAGTGTAACGGGCATGCCTTTGCATGTGATCCCTTTACTGGAGAATGCAATGACTGTAAAGATTATACAACTGGCAGGTTAAATTCAATTCTTAATCTATAACATGGTTGTTTTAATTCATGACAAACACCCCATTATTATAATAATTATTGTAATAATTATTGTAATAATTATTGTAATAATTATTATAATCATCATTAAAATCTTTGGCACAAAATTCTTAGAGTACATCCGATAGCTCTATCAAGTACAGACCTTAGAGTATATCCGATAGCTCTATTAAGTACAGACCTTAGAGTACATCCGATAGCTGTATCAAGTACAGACCTTAGAGTACATCCGATAGCTCTATCAAGTACAGACCTTAGAGTACATCTGATAGCTGTATCAAGTACAGACCTTAGAGTACATCCGATAGCTCTATCAAGTACAGACCTTACAGTACATCCGATAGGTCTATCAAGTACAGACCTTAGAGTACATCCGATAGGTCTATCAAGTACAGACACAATCCCTTTTATTTCAGTTTTTGTGAGAGATGTAAGATTGGATATTTTGGAGATCCAGTATTGGGAGAAGACCAGGTTCCTTGTCGTGCCTGTCCTTGTCCTGATGTAAAGACATCAGAGCACTCCTACGCTGAAAGCTGTTACCTGGAGAAGAGTACCGGCCAACCTATCTGCGACTGTAACCCCGGCTACGGAGGTGAACGCTGTGACATCTGTTCTGATAATTTCTTCGGGAATCCTGAAATTCCAGGAGGCGAGTGTAGGAGCTGTGACTGTTCTGGAAACTGGCAGGAATCTCAGCCAGGAAACTGTGATCCACATTCTGGAGAATGTAAAAAGTGCCTTTATTTTACAGAGGTAACTGCTTTTTGCCTACACAGATAACACAGTTTTAGTAGAATAACGTTTGTTCATTATATTGGTAACATTGTAACGTAAAATATTTTCTGCATTTAGAATATTGCGCCCTGTTCTGGGACATAACCTTCCCGGGTGGTTTGAGTTTAATATTAAGCTTTCAAGTAGTAATGTTGCTATAAAAATAAAACATCTTTGTATGTGCCTTAGATTTATTTATGTCATCCGGTATACATACAGTTACCAGAAAATAGATTCTAAATACAAGAATAGTTTAACAAAAAATAAAGATTTATGAAATAGCTCAACTGTAGCTGTGAATTATGCCTCAAAAAAAGTGTAAGCACTGCACTGAAGAAGTTATAACTTGAAGTTTCTTTCAACAATTGCTCAAAATGTAACAATGTAACATGCCCCAATTAAGGGGATGTACTCTGTACATTTAGCCAAACAATACAAATAACTCCAATTAAGAAGTTAATACTTGTTGACTGTTTGACTGGTCCCTTTAAATAAAAAGAGGGAACGGTCCCTTCATTGCTGTAGGTTAAAATACTTCAGTATATATTTAATGCACTGAGGAAAGAAAATATTAGGTCAAAAAATAATATAAATTTCCTCACCTAATTTTTTCCGGCTATTACTGTTTCACAAATTATATTTAACTAAGGAAAATTTGTAAAAACCAGAGAATTTAACGAGTGAAAGCAAAATCCCGACATTTATTAATTCGTAGAACACGCCCTGGCTATTTAACAGGTCATGGTCATAGATGGAAGTAATTGCAGCTGAGTTGCTTTTGGAAAAAAAACAGTGAACACCGTATTTAGAAAACATAGATATTGTTTTGTTTACTCGCAACAAACTCGGCTTTCCCTATCCATGTCTCTTTGCAACCTTGTGGTACAAACTTGAAATTTCAAACTTTGAGTACTTTATCTAGCAGAATCTGCAGTTTGAAATATCTAAGGTCTTCAGGTTGAAAAAATATTAGGAAACGAAGATGATAGATTGCGGCAAGAGATCGATTCTTGACACCTATGATTCTTGACACCTATGATTCAAGTATCAGTACATTTCGAGTTACGTAGAGAAATTTCATTGTTTAGGGATTTAACTGCGAGAAATGTATGCCAGGATATTTTGGTGATGCAGTACAGGGTATGTGTAACTTATGTACCTGTGATATGCTTGGTACAGATCCAGACAGGTGAACCAATTTATATGTATTTTTTGACAGATAACCTTGTATATATATATATATTTTTCAATTTATATATATATATATATATATATATTTTTTTGCTGTACCTAGACACAAATATTCCTTAAAGAAATGCTATGAGCCAGCTATAAATTCATGCAAACATTCTTTTATTTACTAATATATTTATTATTATGATAACTCATTTCTAAAGGTTTGACTGTGATCGAATAACTGGAGAATGTCATTGTCTTCCAAACGTGGAAGGAGAGAATTGTGATTCCTGTATTGAGAACCATTGGAGAATAGCATCGTAAGTAGTAAAATAAGTATTTTTTCATTTTTTCATGTCAACGTTAAGTTGAGTTGATTAAGGATTTTTGAGCGAAGTCAAAACCTTTAAACATAATTGAAGACAAATATGAAAAAAAAATCAAACTTCGAACATGGAACCTTGAATAAGTAAAAGTGTGAACTCATTTCAGAGCATAATTGTTTCACTTAATTCTGAGCAGTCAAGATGTAAAACCTAGTATGATACTAATCATAATATGCTTAATAGATATTTTGCACTGAATTTTAACATTTTTCTGACACTTTGGTTACGTCAAAATTTGAAAATAATAACTAAAAATTTTAAATATCTTTAATTAGGTTAAAGTAATCTCCTAAAAATATTTTTTTGTGCGTTTTTTTGGGGGGGATATTGTTTTGTTTAATTATTTAGGCATTTGGTAAGTCAATTATATTACTTATTGATTTTATTTTAGTGGAGAAGGTTGTGAAGCCTGTGATTGTGATCCTGTTGGTTCTGTTGGCCCATCCTGTGATTCTTATGTTGGACAATGTGATTGCAGGTGTTTATTTATTTGAATATCAACAAATAACTTTGGGATAAATTTACTTAGAACTATCTAGAACAGATCTGCTTAGTGATCCAGCTCTCACCCAAATATCGTTGAGAAGTTTGCCAAATTGTTTTTTTCATCAAAGCTAAAAAAGAGCTTTTTTAGTTCTAAAACGTACTAAGGGCTAAAAAAGATTATTTAAGTTTTATAGGTTCAAGCGTTGCCTTTCAGTTTTAACGTACACAACCCGTACAGGGTCTCACTCTTTTATCACAAGTGAAAAGATTTGTTAAAAATTTCATGATTTTTCTTTTTCCCTAGGCCCGGGTTCGGAGGGCGGAAATGTGATCAATGTGAAGAAAACTTTTGGGGAAATCCTAAGATTGAATGCATTCCTTGTAATTGTAATACTCTGGGAGTAGACCCTGATAGAACACAATGTGACCACAGTACAGGAGAATGTTTTTGTCTAGAAGGTGAACGAAAATTCAAATTTTATATCACGTTTTAAGAACTTAGAGAGAATCTAAACGTAATTTCACGAGACTCTCCATATATGCAATGGCATGACCGATTCACAACAGTACCCATAACAGTTTTTATAAAAAGAAGGACTAAGCCACCCATGTTTCTCTTTTTAAAATTTTATTGTTTTCCATTGTGCTTTCTCGATATAGGAACAGTTTAGTTAGTTTTGCGAATCAATACTTTTCAAGTTTTCTTATACATTGTTGATCAGATCAAGGTATACAGGATACCTTTGTGAATCAGGCATACCCTTCTTTTAAAAGGAGAAAATATATATGAAAACCATCATAGATGATTTTTTTTTACCTCTACAAACTATACGACAGTTGCAAACAATTTAACCGTTTTTCACAAACCCAAACTTGCAAAATGTCAAAACTCAATCCTATCATATGTTACTTACATGAATTACATAAACTTACATAAATCACTTTTTAACGTTTTTTATTCGCATATTTTTTCTAATTCAGTGATTTCAAATCCAAAATTACAATATATTGCTAAATATATAAAAACTAAAACAATACCAACAAAACTGAACTATGTTGGTAAAAAGGTCAGATTTTGTTGCCATCCAGAAGAAAAGAGGGTTTACAAGGTTGGGGACAGGGGCGGTTATATTAGATAGCAGCACCTTATCCAACAATCTGTGGTTGTCTCAGAAGATTTATTGTAAAGGTATTTTGAAGGTGGAACGGCTAAACATTTAAATGTGGGAAAACTTAAAATAATGTACAGAAAAACATTATTAAAAAGGGACTGTAAAGGAAAAATGAAAGGGGGTATAGGCTGAAAGCTTATCACTTTAGCTCTCGATCGCGACCCATGAAAGTTATATCTGATGTTCCTATCTCGAGAAATTGATATACAACTGTGTCAAAGGAATTGAGTCTTTGCCACAAAATCTGCTTTTCTAAACCCTTTATCTTTGGATTCCAATGTCGAAGACCTTAGATATTTCAAACTATGAATTCTGTTAGATCAAATAATAAAAGTTTGAAATATCAAAGATGTACGACATTGGGATTTAGAAATATAGGGATTATAAATTCAGAGTTTGTTGCAAAGACTCAATTCCTTTATACGAAAATTAATATATCTACAATTTTGTATAAAAATAGAGGGTTTAAATAGATCAAATTCAGCAAAAAAGCAACCAATCTGAAAACGATGATATCCCAGAGAAAGCTAATTGTGAATTAGGTTTACTCCAATTATAATTTTATATCTTTTATTTCTATTTTTAATAGATTTAATTCATTAAATTATTTATACGTCCGTATTACTTTACCAGAAATTCCACCAATGACAGTGCAGTAAAGTAGTCATGTGATACAGGCGGAGACACGTGACCATAATACTGCTCTCCCATTGGTGATAGTTCTGGTCACGTGATTTAAGTTTAAGATTTTCTAAATTTTACATATATGAACTTTTTTATAATTTTAACACAGTATTATATCAATTTCTCGAGACAGGAACATCAGATAAAACATTCATGGGTCGCAATCAAGAGCTAAAGTGATTAGCTTTCAGCCTATACCCCCTTTCATTTTTCCTTTACAGTCCCTTTAAGATAGATATTTTCTTATACTCAATTATGATGTTTTCCGTAAAAAACTTATTCTATATCTTTTGGTTTGTTATCAACAAGAAATTATTATTTATGAGATCAAAATAACTTTTTTTGAGAAATCAAATTGTTTAAAATAGAAGTTTTAATGAATACACACGATCTCCTATAAATCTACAAAAATAGTATATATAATATATATACTTCGATAACATTGTCTATGTGCATCCATGGTGACGGTGGTGATGGAATTTACATCTGCATTATATAATATATATATAATATATATATATTATTAGTAATCATGATACAATGGTTCATAAAAAGTAGTTTTAGGTGAGCCCATTTTGGTCCTTACTAGTGCATGCATTCTTCTAATGATTTAGAACAAGTTGGAACATACATGCATTAAACCTTTACATTAAACAGTGTGACCAAATATCAATACCAGGAACTTACACAAACTATAATTTTCTAAACATTAAGCTCATCACTTATGTTTAGTAAATCTCTGGATAAAGCAGTTTATCGTTATATGTGTGCAGTGCCATCGGGTTGAATATCCCATAGAGGGTCTACACTTCCGTGATAACTAAAATTGAGGGATTAAGCCCCCTAACATTGAAAGGTTGACGCAATGGGGATGTCGAGACATTTTTTACTTCTAGGTTTTATTGTCCCCTTTTCCTTAATAATAATTTTTAGGGTTATCTTATAAAAGCTGGTTGTTTGTAATATCTTATGTAGTCCTGCATTGTTAGCCCAAAACCGTATTTGATATTGGTGGGGGGAGAAACCATCGTTGCTCTGACCCAAAATTTGCTACTGATTTGTATGTACTGCTTTTCTGCTAAATGTTTTCACCACATGTAGATCAAAATATTTTGTAAATATAGCATATTGGTGAAGGTTTTTCTATGGGGGAATCTCGTTACCTATATTTTCCGGTTTCCCCACACAAAGAAATTGAGTTTTTGCAACCAACTCAATTTTTCTAATCCATATATCTTTGCAACCTGATAGTGAAAATCTGTGATATTTTAATCTTAGATTATTAATTCCAATATAATTCAATGTTTGAAATATCGAAGGTCTTCGACATTGCAGGTTTTAAAGATATATAGATAGAAAATCAGTGTTTGTGGTAAAACAAGTTTTATCGAAGGTATTTCCGGGAAGAACTGTGACATGTGCGCACGTGGATACATGCAATATAACCCACTATCTCAGGTAATATCCATAAAAGGTTTGCATCACTCTTCATTATTTTTTGGTTCAGCTTAGGGTCATAGAGTTAGATAAGTTTTCATCAATTGCTTAAATTTTTAAAAATATTTTAGGATATTTTTTGTTCATTACAAAGCAACATTTGTACCTTAGACTATGTACTATTTGTATAACGACAATTTCAGACCAAAATTTTAAAATTATTTTTACAAAAATACCCTTTTGGCCTATCTAATTTAACTCTGGTATTAATGTTCAGGATCATCCAGTGATGACTCGAAACATTCCATCCGGGTCTTTGCCAGATTGTCAGAAGTGTGGTGAATGCTTTGACAACTGGGATCGTATTCTAACAGGTTTGTTTGTTTAATTTATCCGTTCTTCTCCACTCTTAATGGCCAGTTGGTTATAGCCTGAATAATATGATCTTACTTTATAACATTTATATATATAAGTCACGTAAGTATTTATATATCAACTATCCTCCCTTATCTCCCTTCTGTGAAAACTGTAGCCATCCTTTATATATACTCATTGAAACCATGCAATGCATTACTTCGCATTTTTTCTTATATGTTTATTTTCTTATAGGTATAACTTATGTAATGAAAACACAATTAGTTCAGAAAATTGTTTGACGGAATATTTCAAGCTTGTATAAATTCTAACAAAAGTAATAATAATTGTATTCAGGATTAAAAGACAAAACAGAGATGAAGGTTATGGAAGCTGAGCAGGTTAAGGTTACTGGAGCAGCTGGTGCCTACACACGTTCCTTTGAAAGCATGGAATCCAGTATTGAAGATGTTAAAAAGATCATAGCAAGTGCTTCAATATCTGTTGAGGAACTTGCAGAGTATCAAAGAAACATTGGAGAAATCACAAACAGCCTTAAAGGGACTACGTCTCGTATGACTAATCTTGACAACAGTCTGTCCGATACAAAACAGTCCATCCTACAGGGGCAGTACAATTTGACAACATTACGACAGGAAGCGGATAGATTGCAACAATCTGCAGCAGATGTACGAGTACAAGCAACAAAACTACAAGAAGCAAATGTTCGTGGAGCTTTAGTGCTAACCCAACAGGCTAAAATGAGATCAGATCAAGCAGTTGAGAAGGTTAATAGAATTGCAAGGGAGGTTCAGAATTCTCATTTGTCCGAGAGTATTCAGCAAAGGGACGCTACTGAGAGATTGATTGATGACGTCAGTGATACTATTGAGGAGAAACAAGTAAACAACACCAATTCACTTGCTGATATAACCAACAATATCTTGGTCCTACAAAGCAAACTGCCTGGGCTCAACAAAGTTGTGTGTGATGGTGAGACAAGACCAGACTCTCTCTGTGATGATCTATGTGGTGGAGCTGGATGTGGTAAGTGTGGTGGACTATCATGTCAGCAGGGAGCTCTTACTAAAGCAAAAGAAGCATTACAAAATGCTAAAGAAGCAGAACAGATCTTTGCAGAGAAGGATTTAGCTGCAGAATCAGTCCTGAACCAAGTAAGCTCAATATACGGAGAGGTAGCAAGGGCTGAGGACTTGGCCCAAGTTTCCTATGACATGGCATCGGAGGCTAAGAACAGGTTATAATTAAAAATCTGTAAAAACTAATTTTATCTATTTATTCAAACTGAGGATAGCTTTTCAACAAAAGTGCACAGTAAAAATAAGACAAGTTATTATCCAAGTAGAAAATTTAACAAAATATTAATTATTTATTTATTTAGGTCTTTGAGTGAGCTGAATCAAGTAAACATGCTCTCAAATAAAATTGATTCTTTCTTTGAAAGTAAGAAAGCAACGCCTGAACAAGTACAAGGAGTTGCGTATGAATGTTTAAATGCAACTATGACAATGGACACATCTCAGGTTCAGAATTTGGCAGAAGAAATCAACAAAGCAATAGGTAGAATGCCACATACATACTTTTGCATGCTTAAAAATAATATTTATCATCTTAAAATTACAACTTTGTTTAGAATCCGTCACTGACGTTGACAAAATTAATGCGGAGACTGCTGGACCTCTTATCCAAGCTGAGGATCTGAAGAGGCAGGCTGATAAAGCAAAGATAGAGGCATCTGCAGGGTTAGAAACAGCTGAGAATGTTGTAAAATCTCTCTCAGACTCTGAAGATGCCCAAAATGTTGCTGAAACAGCTATTGCGAGTGCTCAAAGAGATATTGCTACTGCCAGAAGAGACCTTGGTCAGATAGAGACGGAAATGGAGGTGGCAACCTCACTAAGCTCTGAAACCTTCTCCAGAACAGAATCTCTACTGAAGGAGCAGAAGGGTCTGCAGACGATCTATATAGCTAACGAAAACCACGTGAAAAGTGCACAAGCAGCTGCTGAGATGGCAATGAACAAAGCGAACAAGGCAAACTCTAATCTTTATAAACTCAACACTGATTTCTTCGATGTGTCCTCTAGCTTAGCAGAGAAAAGCGGGAAAATTGGATCCGCTAAAGATCGGGCTCTTGATCTCCAGAAAAGAGCAAACAACTTGGCTAACTCTGCGTCTAGTAAACTTGCAAACCTGCAGGACATGGAGAAGGAATATGAAGAAAATCAAAGACAACTGGACACTTTGTCTTCACAACTTACCGAGCTAAACTGTAAAATGCAGATACATTTAATGGTAATTATGATACGTTTATATTTTTCTAAAAAAAACTCTTAGTCAGCTCTTTTTACAATTAGAGAGATTAAAAACTGTAACATATGTAAATATATCTATGTAAGTAAACCGAAACATTTTAAAATCAATCTACATTTTTTCAGGTGATCCAGGAAAAATCTAATTTCTATCGAACCTGCAGTTCTCCAAGTGTTTGGGAACCTACCCAACTTTGTCTATGTCCGACAGGAAACTTGGATCCTGTCTGTACAGATAATTCTAGTCCGGCTAGATATTAATTCTTGTATTTTCTCTTTGTAATCAGGAGTTTTGCCTACCTTTTTTCCCATCAAATATGACATAGTTTTACTGTAAAATAGTAATTTTCTTATTTACATTAAGTATGTAGTATGTATGTATGATAGTTTAATCAATGGAAGAATACAATTAGAATATTAGTATTCTATTTATTCAATATTGATTACTGGGTAGGATTGCAAGTATAAATGTCTTGTATTTCAGAACCAATAAATCTGCAATCCCAAAGGTTTTTAATTTTGAAATATTTTGATAAAACATCAGATCCGTTAAATATCTTTATAACGATACAACTGAACCAACTCTACGCCAGGTGGCTAGAGCTCTAAACATCATCTCTGTTATACTCTTGGAACGAAAAGTTTTATATTTTGTATTTCTTTCTTCTTTAGGTTGTCCAACCTAAAATCCACCCTATTCTTTAGTATACATATGTCCAACCCAACATACACCATATTCTTTAGTATACATATGTCCAACCCAACATCCACCATATTCTTTAGTATACATATGTCCAACCCAACATCCACCATATTCTTTAGTATACATATGCCCAACTTTTACTTTTAAAAACAAATCGCAAAATATAGCAATTTTTCTATTTAAGTTATAATGTCTTAGTTAATATTTTAATTAGAAACGCCGCTAAAAATTGTGCATAATTTTTAACTGTTCTTATTGACAGATCTTTGAATATGAGATCTTTGAATACGTCACGGAGATTATAAAGGATACACAATCCTAAGTAAAGAAAAGACTATCTGTAATTATGATTTTGGGAGATGATCAAAGTGTCTAATATTCTTCCATGCTTTTGGTGTCATCTTCGTTCACATGTCCTCGACTGCATGTTCTGAGCAAAGTCATCCGATTTTGAAGGGATTTGAGCCGTCTCCAAAAAACATGAATCCTTTCTTGTCAACTGAAAGAAAAATAATAAAAAAGATATCAGAGAAGTAGGGTGGCCAGAGCACGTGGTTTTATGCATGGGATAGATTGGATGATAGGACCATGGTAACAGCCGTATAGTTTATGAGAAGGAGAGGAAATGGAATAATGATATAAATGGGATGAATGAAACTAATGGGATGTCCGTGATGGACAGGGTTGATTGTATTGAGGATGGCAATGATAGATAAAATGAAAACGTCCGTACAGTTAAAAGGCGTTAAAAATTGATAGGCTATTTTATTTATTTTTGGGGGGGGGGGTCCTTATAGTATGTTTTTTTTTTACAAAAAAAAAGTTCAACTTTTATTTACCAATGCAGGTTGGATAAAATCAGCCCAAAAGAATATTTCCTTTTCTTTTATTATTTTCTTGTATTATTTTGCTTGAAGCACAATTCTCAAACCACCATGCCGTTCTTTGTATATGTTATCGTCATACGAGTTTCAGAAATTGTGAATAGATTCAAAACTTTTTACATCAACAGCAAATTTTGTAAGAAACTAAAGATTTCTGTCTCTTCAATTTTTGTGGATGATTTTATTCCTGAATTTAGAAATTTTAGAGTTTGAATTTGACAAGATTCAACCTGAAATGATTAAGGATGCAATAATATTCATTGAATATAAAACCAGTTTTGACATGGAAGCTATGAATACTAACATTTTGATGGATGCAATTACAGACCCATGTTTACATGTGATATCTGAAACCATTGAGAAGCTGGGTTATAAACGTTTATACAACTACTTACCTTATAAGTTGCATCCACTCGATCGTTTATATATTACGAACAATTACAAAAGCAATGACTACAAAGTAATACGTTAGTTTAGTATTTCTAGATTCTTTTGATCTAATTTTAAGCAAACTTGGTATCGTTAACACAGAGTTGCTCTGTTCTTTACTGTAACTATTTCAAACATATCCGTTTTACAAGGTTCTAACCTTGAATTTCTAATATGTCCTTGCTTCATTAACAAAATGCATTTTTTAAACAAACTATAAAGAAGAAATTCACTTTCTGATGATGCTTTACTGCACTGAAATAGCAAAATCTTTAAAAAATTATGCATTAACTAATTTTGTCAATTGTGAAATACAAAAGTTGGGTATGTGGCTTTGAGCTCATGAACTAGCTATCAATGCATCAAAAACGAAAATCATAATATTCCATCCTAAAGGTAAGTCGATTCCAAATGATCTATAACATTCTGTTTAAATAACAATGACGTAAATAGGTCTTTCAAATATAACACTTCGGATGCTTTGACTGTTTAGTGAAGTATCAAAAGTGTAATTTGAAAGTATCAAAAGTGTAATTTGAAAGCATCAAAAGCAAAAAGCAAATCAAATTTTATGCCTTATATACTCACTTTTAAGAGAAAGTATTTACTTTCTGGTCAAATTATGACTGAATGAACTAAGAAAAATTGAAAAATTGAAAAATAAGATAAAAGAAATCCTTCATTTTTCTGGTCAAAAATCATTTTTGATACTTTTAAAAAAAACTTTAGAAAGAGCAAGTTTTGGCAAGAGGGGAAGAAGATGCCATCCCCCCCCCCCCCATCCCTCTTTCTTTATATATAACGACTCAGGATATCCAAATTGCACAAATTTCTTAATAGTTTGCTGAAAATGGCAAATAGTTAATAGCCTCAAATTAGAAGTTAATGGACTCTAAGTCACTTTTCTAAGGCTGTGCTACAAAAAAATTGTGGGAAGTTAAAATCTGAACTGAAAAAACATTGATATGTAATGCTTACTTTGACATTCTTTTTGACTAAGCGACAAACATTGTGACTAAGAATAGCGACTTAGAGTTGTGACATGTCATGGACATTATCAAGCCTAAAAGAAGAACTGAGAGATGTTTGTGACTCAAATTACAAAGATTTCTTTAAATATTTCAAGTCAAACTCTTAAACAAAATTGAACCAGAAAAATGCGACTTAGAAATAATTGTGACTTATAATTTGAGACTTAGAAAGAGTCTTAGACATAGAAGAGGTGAGTTTTTGTCATAAACTCAAATTTTCTAATCCTTATATCTTCGCAACCTGTTAATGTAAACCTTTAATATTTCAAACTTAGACTATCTTATCTAACATAATTTATAGTTTGAAATATCAAAGGTTTACAATACTTGGTTGCAAAGATAATGGAATTTTAAAAAATGAGTTTTGACAGAAACTCAATTCCTTTGTCTCCAAAAACAGGCTTAGACATATTTGTGACTTTTGCTTGTGACTGAGAATGTGGGTTAGTTTTTTCTCAGATCTATGAATTAAATAGTGTCTTAGACATTATTGGGTCTATAAAGTATGGCTGTGAGGTAATTGTAACTTAGAACTGTGACAAACAATGTGTATTATACATCATTGAGCAAAAAAAGGGTGACTTAGAATTGAGTCTTACAATTTGCCGAGGACATATTTGTTACTTAGAAAGTGCTTTCGAATGTTTCTAATGCATATTTGTGACTTAGAGAGTGCCTTAGACATAATTGTGACTTAGAAAGTGTCTTAGACATAGGCATGTCTCCAAAGTAAGAACTTTTCTTAGAATTGTGACTTAGATAGTGTCTTAGACATAATTTGGTCTCAAATGATGTAACATGTGATATAGAACAGTGACTTAGAACATGACTTAGACATGGGTTTTAGTTAGAATTGGGCCTTATAATGTTTCTTAAAGTGTGACTTAGAAAAGTGACTTGTGAGTTTATCTTTGAATGGTGACTTAGAATAAGTCTTAGTCATAGTCCTGCATTGGAATAAGTCTTTGACAAAGTTGTGACTTAGAAAGCTTCTCAGACATAATTTGGCCTCAAAAGATGGTTTTGATTTAATTGAGACTTAGAATGTGTCTTAGACATAAGCATTTCTATAAATTAAGAATTTTTCTTAGAATTGTGACTTAGAATGAGTCTTAGACATAGTTGTGACTTAGAATTGTGACTCTGATAGTGGCTCAGACATAATTTGGTCTCAAAAGTATGACGTTGATGTAATTGTGACTTAGAACTGGGACTTGGAATATGTGGCAGCCATCATCCCCCCCCCCTATACTTCCACCCCATTATTCAGTACAAAATATGTTAAAGATTTAACAAAGGGTTTTATATTCCAAAATAAAAGAAAAGTTTTATCGGGGAAAAACGGGAATTTTGTCTTGCACCTGTATCAGTGACAGTTTTGTTGATTTAACATTTTTAAAAAGGAACATTTTTGATGCTTTCCAACAGTTGAATTGTATTTAAGAGATTTCCAAGGGTTGGGTTATGCTAAGTTGCGCAAAGCAACCAAATTTACACTTCATAGCATCTTTTTTGGCCAAATTGATAAGATATAGTTTCAGGATCCTGATCTCATTAAACAATTTGAGAGAATATCCGGTATATATATCCGGTATATATATCCGGTATATATATCCAGTATATATATCCGGTATATATATCCGGTATATATATCAGGTATATATATCCGGTATAACTAAACCGCATCTTGCTTTTTAAATCCTTGGTGTACTGCTATATAGATGAAATCTTTGATTTTGACTTCTATGTTCCAAGAAAAAATTCAAAGTCCTTTTATTGCCATTACACGTACAATACCGTGATATCCTTTTTGAGGTTGAACTGTGCTTCCAAATACTCAATATGATATTCTATTCTTTCATTCTTTCTTTCCCTAGTTTTCTGATAACATCTAAAAATAAATTTTCAACAGAATTAAACATGATTAATTTTTAAGAATTCCAAGAGTATTTCTAATTGATCAAAATATATTACATAGGGAGGATTAGAGGGGGGCCTGGGGCCCCACCCATAGTCCCCGGCCCCCCCCAAGAAAATTTATGATATGGAATAAAAGCATCAAGGGATGAAAGACACAACGAAAAAAGAATTGAATAAATGACCTAAAATACTCGTTAAATTGTTTTCTCATCTTATTATTCATACTAATATACCTGTAAAATTATAGATAGAAAGTGTAAAAACTGGAGTTTACAGATAGAAAGTAGGAGAACTGGAGTTTACAGATAGAAAGTAGAAGAACTGAAGTTTACAGATAGAAAGTAGGAGAACTGGATTTTACAGAAGGAAAGTAGAAAAACTGGAGTTTACAGATAGAAAATAGGAGAACTGGAGTTTACAGATAGAAAGTAGAATAACTAGACTTTACAGTCAGAAAGTAGAAAAACAGTATTTTACAGATGGAAATAGTATAAGTAGAGTTTACAGATTTTACAGATAGAAAATAGGAGAACTGGAGTTTACAGATAGAAACTAGGAGAACTGAAGTTTACAGATAGAAAGTAGGAGAACTGGAGTTTACAGATAGAAAATAGGAGAACTGAAGTTTACAGACAGAAAGTAGGAGAACTGGATTTTACAGAAGGAAAGTAGAAAAACTGGAGTTTACAGATAGAAAATAGGAGAACTGAAGTTTACAGATAGAAAGTAGGAGAACTGGATTTTACAGAAGGAAAGTAAAAAAACTGGAGTTTACAGATAGAAAATAGGAAACTTGGAGTTTACAGATAGAAAGTAGGAGAACTGGAGTTTACAGATAGAAAGTAGGAGAACTGGAGTTTGCAGATTGAAAGTAGAAGAACTGGAGTTTACAGAAGGAAAGTAGAAAAACTGGAGTTTACAGATAGAAAGTAGAAGAACTATAAGAGTTTACAGACAGAAAGTGGGACAACTGGAGTTTACAGACAGAAAGTGGGAGATCTGGAGTTTGTAAACTTATAATTTTTGAACAAATAAGAAATTGGAATTAACTCCTTTTTGTTCAATTTTTATGGGGGGCCCGAAATTAATTTTTGCGTGCGATTATTGCCCACCCCCCTCCCTGAGATGATGGTTTAATACGCCCCTGATATTTCATTTTTAGCTGCGGACATAGGATGCTTTATTTTTGCCACATGGTTTGTTATTAAAAATCTTCGAAGTAATTTCATGTAAGTTTGTCACTATAAAAGCAATATGTGTAAATAAATGCAATCTATTCAGATTACAGTGCATGGTAAATGTGAAGAGCAGTGGCGTACATAAGGGGGGCAGTAGTGCTCTTGCCCCCCCCCCCTGGAAAATACAAGATTAAAAGGAAACAAATTTAAAAAGTAACACCTGACAATGACAAAGACTAAGGATTTGTCTAAATTCACTGTTAACACAAAATTTAAGATACTTTAAACTAAAACTTTTGTAAAAACGAGACCTCGACATATTTGCTTCTTATAACATGATGGAAGATGTAATAAAGGTATTCTATTTTTCTTTTTTTTTCTTACAGTCAATTAATAAAGAAATTGTGTCTTTGGCACAAACTCAAATATTTAAACCTTTGGAATCTGATGTTGTAAACCTTTGATATTTCAAATTCAGAATATTTGATCTAACAGAATTCATAGCTTGAAATATCTAAGGTCTACAACCATAGATAAAGATAGATTGCGCATAAGACATTGAGTACTTGTGGTGTACATGAGTTCTGTAGAGAGAAATTTAAGTTAGTTTAGTCCTTCTCATGTCCTTCTTCAGTTCTCGTCAATATGATATATTGCTCAGTGAAATATTGTTGTTCAAATAGTTCCATTCCCGGAGTTATTTTACACTTTATTCGGGAGGAATGGTTAAACCTAGTAGATTGGAAAAGACCCAATCCGAATGTTATCTGCAACGAACATTTTCCTAGTTATATAAAAGTGAATGGGAAAAAGTTGTCAAAGTCTGCTGTTCCCTCAATTTTTAACATTATCGGATCTCTGTTCAGAACTACTCCCTGGAAACTGTTCTGAAGGAACATAATTATGCCGTCCCAGCTATTCGAAAGCTAAAGAAAGAAAATGTATGACGGAAACACGAGAAAAGGGAAAAAATTCCAAAATCAGAGTTATTCCTTCAAAGCTCAAAAAAGAAAACTCGACGAAAAAATTCGCAGTCCAGAATCTGTGATTGTCGAAATAAAAGACAAGTTCTCTTTACCAGAGGAAACTATAAACCTTCTTCACAGTTCAGCAAGTAAAATTCTGGAGGAGTTGTTTCAAAGAGTTATAAAAAAGTTAAAATATTCGGATTGTAGAGATAAATATCTTCCAGCTCTCCGATCGTTTGCTTAGCAAGATTATTCTTTTTCAAAACCAATGATTGTGATTGTAGACTAAATTTTTTTATCAATAAAAGTTTGATGTCGTTATGCACAAAGTTTTTAAATCTAGGTTTATACTATAAACTTAAATTCATGTTGTTTTAAATATCAAAGACCATCAAGTTGTAAAGATATACGGCTTCAAAATCAATCAAAGTGGCAAAGTTTCATAATTGATAAAAAACAGTCTATAAACTTTATCATTTATGAAACTTTGCCACTTTGATTGATTTTTAAGCCGTATATCTTTACAACTTGATGGTCTTTGATATTTATAAATTTATAAATTTATTTATAAAGTTAAAAAGTTAAAGTTAGTTTTTCGAGCAAATGATAAATTTTAGAATAAATTTTAGACTCTATAAGGTTAGTAACATTAAAAAATGTAGTCTTTTTATGGTGTTAATTGACTTTTTGAACAAAACAATTCCAGGGGGGGGCAAAATTTTTTTTTTCGCGCTTCGCGCGAAATCTTGCCCCCCCTGGCTAAAATCCTGTGTACGCGCCTGGTGAAGAGGATACAGAGATAAGAGAAGCATACATCGAATAATAGATAAGTGACACTTGTGTAGAAGGTAAACGCTACATTTGGATTTAAAGGAAAGCAGGAAAGGGACCCCCCCCCTCCGCCTTGTAGTGTATCACCCCAACGAAGGGGAAACATACCTTCTTCCTCAAAATAATTTTAGCCTTCATTAATGCAATTGAAGGGGGATTGGTGGACACTAGAAAGTAGACAGGAACGCATTGAGGATTTGATTTGGAAAACGGCAATTAATTATCCCAAGTATGACCCCGAAGCGCGAAAAAAAATGTTGCCCCCCCCCTGGCCTAAAAAATGCTGTTATTCTATATTAAGTCTACTACATGTCCCCTAGGTGGCCCATTTATTATTCAAGGACTATATATTACAATGTATCCCTCTGTTTAGTTCTGTATTACTCTCTGAAGTCCTGAGTAGTCTCCTGAGACTACTCCCCTTTCTAGTCCACTGTAGTCACAATTCAAGGACTACATATTATAATGTATCTAGCTGTATATGTATTATCCTCTGAAGTCCTGAGTAGTTTCCTGAGACTATTCCCCTTTATAGTCCACTGAAGTCCCAATTCAAGGACTACATATTACAATGTATCCATGTGTATAGTTCTGTATTGCCCTCTGAAGTCCTGAGTAGTCCCATGAGACTACTTCCCTTTGTGGTCCTCTGTAGTCCCGATTCAAGGACTATATATTATAATGTATCCCTCTGTATAGTTCTCTCGATTCCTGAGACTACTTACCTTTGTAGTCCACGGACTATATATTTAAATGTATCCTTCAGTATTTTCGGGAAAACTTGTCAAAAGCTTGCATAATGCATATAGCTATAGTTGTTTATCAAGTATTCAGGGGGGTGGGGGGAGATTTTAGATAAAAGGGAAATACTAAGGTAAAATTTGAAAATTTTCAACTATACTTTTAAAGGGGGAAAACACTACTTTGATGATGAGGGCAAGCTCTTTTTTATTGCCTAGAACACCTACCTTTGCTCATAAATACCAGAGGGGGCACGAGGACTACTGCCCCCCCCCCTGTGTACGCGTCTGTGCATAATGCATATAGCTATCTATAGTTGTTTATCAAGTATGCAGTGGGGTGGAGATTTTAGATAAAAGGGAAATACTAAGGTAAAATTTGAAAAGAAATGGCGAAAAATTTTCAACTATACTTTTTAAGGGGGAAAACACCCCTTTGATGATGAGGGCAAGCTCTTTTTTCTTACCCAGAACAACTGATTTTTACCTTTGCCTAAAAAGCCCAGGGGGGGGGCAAGAGGACTACTGCCCCCTCCCCTGTGTACGCTACTGACCCTGACCTTGGACCTGAACCCAATCCCAAGTATGATCCTGACCTTGAACCTGAACCCAATCTCAAGTAAATCCTGACCTTGGACCTGAACCCAATCCAAATTATGACCCTGACATTGGACCTGAACCCAATACCATATGAATGACCCTGACCTTGGACCTGAACCCAATCCAAATTATGACCTTGACATTGGACCTGAACCCAATACCATATGAATGACCCTGACCTTGGACCTGAATCCAATCCAAATTATGACCCTGACATTGGACCTGAACCCAATCCCAAGAATGACCCTGACCTTGGACCTGAACCCAATCCCAAGAATGACCCTGACATTGAACCTGAACCCAATCACAAGTATGACCCTGACCTTGGACCTGAACCCAATCCAAGTAAGATCCTGAGCTTGGACCTGAACCCGGAATATAATATGTATGACCCTGACCTTGGACCTAAACCCAATACCATGTATGATCCTGACTTTAAACCTAGGACTAAACCTTATCAAAAGTATGACCATAACCTGGACCTGAACAACTAATCCTAGTATACCACCATCCTATATACCATCGGCATCCTAACCATAGGCCTGAACCTTATCCCGGAATTACTGCAGTTGCGATATTTTTACCTCGCTAATCCTCCAACTTCATTTTACAACAGAATTTGCTCGAAAAATGAGTGCATGCCTTAAATTATCTCAAAACTGTAGGTAACCGTTAGACATGAAGGATTGAATTTTAAAGGGCCATTAAAGAGAAACCATGGAATTATTGGACTTACATGATGACTTATAAAGGTCTTCAAATAACATTTTTAATTTGAAAAGAGCTATACCTTTTTCATGCTGCATCCCCCCGCCAGTGGCGACTGTGCTTCCCGATAATTTTGTTGGAATCCGTTTTAAACGGTTTACAGAGTTAACTTGGAAACTTTATTCTTGAAGTGTAAAAGAAAGTACGGAACGAACGGATCGCATCACAGAGTTCGAGGGAGAACCGTACCGAATGTCGGCTCGGCACGGAGAGAAAATGGTTTGGTTTGGACTGGAGCCGAAGTCAAGTTCAGGGACGAACCGTAGGATTGCGCAGTATTTACTGCGCAGATATCTCCATGACGTAACCGAATATTAGAATACAAAGGAAAAGCTTTCTTATATCAATATTTTTCCATCACAGAAACAACTCTTCATTACATTGAAAGTTTGTTTAAAATAATATTTTGGTTGTGTAAAAATATTCAAACTCCTAAGACTGGAGATATCCCGAAGATACCGACCGAACGCTACCCGCAACATATAGCTACACTGAGGGGGCATCGAACTGAGGCCATTGAACTCTACTCTTCAGAGTTTAGTCCACACACCATGACTAGTAGTGCTCTAGACACGATTACGGTGGGAGCTGTGCATGAGAAAACCAAGCAGTGTTAAAGATTTGTGTAAACATAGTTAAAGAAATATTCAGTGATAATAGGAAGAATAATATTCTATGATTGAATACAAGTTATATAGTTAAATGGATTCAATGTAAGTATTTTATAGTTTTGGAAGATAGTAACACAGACCAAGCCTTTAATACCGTTGGGGTCAATATTCCCACTATACTAGTTTTCTTTCCTTTCTGCCTTAAAGCAATGTTTTCCTTTCCAATTCAGTGCTACAACTAGATAAACTTATATTTTTATTGATTTCATTTACATTTTATTTGTTCGGCATGGGTGTGGATAGCGTATATACTGTATAGACTTTTAGGGTTTATTTTGCTCTTAAATTATTGTAATTTACTTGAACATGTTCTCTTTGTGTACATTGTAAAACAAAACATAAAAAAAATTTCGCGGATTTTCAAAATTTTCAAAATTAGAATTTTGATAGAGGCAAATTTTTTTTAAATTTGATCATCCATAAACCTTTCCTGGGGCCACGCGAGGTCCCACAAAAAATTTGGGCTCGATCGGTTCAGCCGTTTTATCGAATACAAACGGACAGACAGACAAGCAAAGTGTATAAATAGATATAGATTATTTATAATTAAAAAAAAATTGGGGATAATTTTTTATTTTTGAAAGATAATAGCATTATAGCAACCCTAATGCAACTGCAATTATTTGTAATTATTTATAGCATCAAAAGAAAGTATATTTTCTTACTGGATAACAGTTACAAAGGAGTCAATGTGTGTAAAAGTGATTCAAGTTTTTTTAATATTTTTTGTATTCTTTTCATGATTATAAAATAATTCCTTTACAGCAACATATTCGTGTTTAGAGATTTATAAACATTCGTATTTCAAATTCCAGGCAACAATATAACAGAAATTTACTCATATATTTTCCCAATTTAGTGATTTCCCCGACCAGAATTGTGACTGTCCAATGAGTCCAATGTCTATGTATTAATTAAATACATTACATTTATACATAAACGAAATTATTATCTGCATGTTATATGTAAATTATAGCCATAAATCTATCGATTGCATACATGTTTCATTTACAAATATATGTATATACATTGAAAATTAGGCAGATCACTTTCTAGCGATAAATTGTGCATCAACTTTGCCTGTCTGTCTGTTTGTCTGTTTGTAACCAATAAACGTCAAAACGGCTGAACTGATCGGGCCCGAATTTTGTGTTGGGCATAACATGACCCCGGGAAGGTTTATTGACTAGAAATTCAAAACATTTTCTTTTCGCTCCAAAGCCTGTCGCTTAAAAATATGTAAAATTTCAATCTAATGTGAAATTTTTAATTTTACTTGTTTTCTATGACCAGATCGAAAAACTTAAAATTTAGCGGATTTCAGTTGTGAACATGTTCTCTTTGTATACATTGTAAAACAAAAACAAACAAAAAATTTCGTCGATTTAATAAAAAAAAAATTCGTGGATTTTCAAAATTTTGAAAAATCGAATTTTGTTAGAGGCAAATTTTGGAAAATTCAATGTATCATCCATAAACCTTCCTTGGAGTCACGCGAGGTCCCACAACAAAGTTGGGTCCGATCGGTTCAGCCGTTTTGACGTTTATTGGATACAAACGAAACAGAGATAGACAAACAGACAGACTAGTAAAGTATATATAGATAGATAGATAGATAGAAGATGTTGTGTCTCAAGAGTTTATGATATTGATTTTAAAAAGTTTAGGATACTAATTCTGTTTAAATTGTCGGATCTTATAAATCGACATTTTTGCAGGCAAAAGTATTCTATTTTGACCGTTTTTAAACCTTTCAGTCGTTTTTAAGTTTATTGGATACAAACAAACAAACAGACAGACAAGTAAAATATATAAATATATTAGTATACATTTGTATGAATGTGTAAGGTAAATTCTTTGTATAAGTTTAAATACATTGGATAAAATAAATATTCTTATTATCGCCGACACAAAGTTGTATGTTCTTGAACGATATTTACAAATAAATGTATTATATGTACTATGTAAAACAAATAAAAAGGAAGTTTAGAGAGAAGATAATATATTTGATTTATACATATTTATCTTCTTAAAAGTTCAGAACATTTTCTATTGTTTATTAAAATAAGTTATTAGTGGACACTCAGATTTATATGTATATTCATATTTATAATTTATTTTTCATTTTATTTTTATTTTTATTCTTATTCATATCAATACCAGGCTTCGTCTAGAGCGCTTCGTGCCCCTTTTTATTAACAATTTTAGCTCTTGAAGCTGCCATTTTTCATTTTTTTTAGAGTTAATTTTATGGATTTTCTGTTAAAATTGGTGCGGTTTTATAAATAATATATGCAAGTTGATTTTTTTTTCCGGACCAAAGGAATTGAGTCTTTGCCACAAACTCTGATTTTCTATTTTCTATATCTTTGCAACCCAATGTCGTAGACCTCAGATATTTTATAATTTTATATTATAATTGTTATAGATCAAATAATCTAAGGTTGAAATATTAAAGATTTTAATAATCAGCTTGCAAAGATATAGGGATTAGAAAATTTAAGTTTGTGGCAAAAACTCAATTCCTTTGTCATTGTTAACAATCCTTAAAAGCCTTCACTTGGTTTATGTGACCCGATTGGTTCAGCCGTTTTAAAGTTTATTGGATACCAACAAACAAAGAGTAGAATTATACAATATTTTTTATTAAAGTTTTTAGAATTACACTAAACAAAATTTTTCAATGTTTCACGACAAACTTGAATAGATAATAAATACTAATCAAGCAACTAAATTACAAATATTTTTGATCCTTCTACTCAAAAAGCAATAAAAATTCGTTCGGAAAAAAATGTAAAAAAATATCTAATTTATTAGAAAGTAAAAAAGTTCCATCTAGTTGGTCATGGCTTTACTCCAAAGGCAATACAAATGCGTTCGGAAATTAATGTAAAAAAATATATTTAATTTATTAGATGATAAAAAAAGTGACATCTAAGTTCAACACTATAACAAGTTTATGATTTATGCCAACTCCATGTAATACAAAAAATATGTTATGTGTTAATAATTGTCTATTATGTCAATCCGTTTGGCAAAGTATTTGTGAGAACTATATGCAGTTAGCATGTTGTCAAGTAACAATTAGTTAACTAAAATATAACATTTTAGTGTCTCGAGAGGATATTAATTTTACACAGTTAAGGATATAAAGGAATTTAGAAAGTTTATACTAGTTTAGGATATTAATTTCTAAGAGTTTAGAAAGTTTATACTAATTTAGGATATTAATTTCTAAGAGTTTAGAAAGTTTATACTAATTTAGGATATTAATTTCTAAGAGTTTAGTATAATAACACTAAGGTTGTATGAGTGTACGGAAAAGGGACATATATAGTCATTCAATTTTTAGACTGTCTCGACTTTAAAGTGTCGCAACGCCTTGACCTTTCGTTTTACCTCACCAACTTTCTTTTACTTTTTTGTAGCCCTAGACATACATATTTTAAAAATAAAACGTGTTTCTAACTTTCTAGCTTAATTTTAAAAGAAGTGATTGTGAAAATACTGCTCTATTTTAGCGTGAGAGCATGCACATGTTTTCCATGTATCCTGACCATTTTCCCATTTTATTTTCTGAAATGCCTTCAAATGTTCATTCTTTCAATTTTCGTTTTTGGCTGTCAAATAAAAAGATAAATAAAATGTTTTTGGAATCGGAAATGAAATATTAAATAATCTTAAACCGCGATATTTACAGTTTCAAATCAATAGACGTTTTTCAATTGGAATGTAGTCATGCTCTATTTCAGCCAATCGTTTGACATTGATTTTTAACGTAAAAGTTACCAATCACGCACAAGAAGGGTAAAAAGAATATTCAAAAAGACGAAGAAAAAAGTAAGGTTGATTTTTTCCCCAAACGTGGTGGCTTTTTCAAATAGGGTTTTAATTTTTAGCTAAAACAAAAATGAAAGAATATGGCTCGGATGCAGAAATGATTTGGTTGACCTTTCTCTCCTAGCTAAATACCTTGATTGTGCCCTTGTCGTTTCTTTTCTGAAGTTTAGCACAATGTTTTAAAGATTCAGCTTAATGTAGTGTTGATAGGCATGTCGTATTTAATGTATTCCTGTTCTTCTATAATATTTTTTTTTGTAATGAATGTGCTCCTGCTATGTGTTATTGATTGTATAAATGAGCAAATATTAGAAGTTAGCAATATTTGTAGAAAAGTAAATGCACTGATACACAGAAAATAAGATTAAACATAGAAATATCAAATGTAATTTTAGTTAAAAGTGTCTCATCAACGATTTACATCCGGCAGTACCTTTAAAACCTTTATTTGAGCGTTTTTTTTCTGATGAGGGTGCAATTAATTAATTCGTAGATTTTTTTCAGTTTTTTTTAGATTTTTCTAGTATTTTAATTTGTTTTAAATGTAGATTTAACATTAAAAAAAATTATTATTTACATTTATCCTTTAATTGCTATTAAAGTTTTAAAGTTCATAAGAAGAATTCTTAAAATAAGGTATTACAATAAGGTTGATGACACTCTTAGACTTCAATAACATTGAAAATTTCCCACCACACGGGATAACCCCCCCCCCCCCCTTATTTTATTCTGATTTGTTCTCCCTGAGCCTAAGAGAGCTAGAGAGCTGAATGCACTCGCCAGACATTTTCTCCGGGTAGTTTGGTGGCAATGAACCTGAAGCAGGTATAAACCCTCCTAACCATCCCAACACAGCTATATAACCTTGAGCCACCTTGGCAGTGGATTGCTAGAAATTACCGTTACAGATTTCTCCGCCAACCTGGGCTAGGCGCACAACCAGCGCGCATTCTTGTAGAATCTTCTTAATCTTAAGATTTAATTTGATACAGAATCCCGTCTGGCATAAGGCTAATAGTAGATGCGCCACCAACTGTTATTATAAAACCTACAGTTTCCCTAAAAAGATCAACTTTGATGTTACATTTTTATATAGTTCTAAAAACTCTAAACAAATATATATTTTCTTATCTTTAAGGAGATAAAACTTAGCAAAAAGTTAAGAAATACGCGCGTCAATTGTCACTGGTTGAATTCTTAAGAAGATCCTCTTAAAATACATGCGTGTTACATAAAACATATACATATAAACGCTGATAATCCTTTCCTTTTCTGACAAACTTTTAAAATGTTGAAACAAATTGTTAAATAATGTGTACGGTGACACTCTTGGATCTATAATAATAAATTGTTCTTGTAAAATAAGTTGGAATGCCTGATGCCTATGTTGACTCTCCTCTCTATGATATTACATGTTTAATTGCTTAGGTTACAACAGAGGCAATAAATACCTATAACTGATAAATTATAGATTTGCACATCTTTGGTTATAAACTGTCATAAAAATCAAAAAGACAATTTTTGGGAAAGAGATTTTCAGGTGGAAAAATTGACGACAAAAACTCGGGTGTCTCAAATTTTCCCGATTCTCTTGAAAAAAATAATATTTCCCTAGACTTTTTTTAATGTTCACTGAACACGAATAAAACTTTTGAAAATGCGGAAATGGGGAACTTGAAAAGGGGAATTGAGAGCAGCTAAGACAGAGGTACATGAATTTTCCAAGAGAAAGCTCGACAGCTGTTGCTAGGACTCTGTTAGGACATTGAACTTAAGCAACAATATCAGGGGTATACACTATACACCGGGGTCTCAAGGTGGCCCTGGCGTAACTCTAGTAACCTGCACAGATGAAAGTATTAGCGATATTTGTTAAGAAAACATCAATACATCGCCCGTTTAGAAGTAGGTGAAAATATATATATATAGGATTAATAAAAATATTCTCCGTTTAATATACTTAGAATAGAAAAAGTATTTCAAATTAGCAAAATGATTGTCAAATGAATAAAAACTTAATCGTATGAAAAACTATAGTACTATATACCTTAGAGCTATTAAAGTTGTTAAAGACAGTTGAACTATTTCTCGTAATTTATGTAAATATATATCAGTAAAGCACATGGACAAATCTATATAATATGCTTGTCTCTCTGTTTGTTTGTTATTACCAAATAAACGTCAAAATGGTGTCACGTTAAATAAGGCCCGGGCGTTATATTTGGTCCGGGTGAGTGTTACATGTGAAATCCATGTACAAAATTGATAGGAGGGGGAAGGGGGGGGGAGTCAAAAAATCGTATATTAGGAAATTACCGCTGGTTATATATAAAATTGACAGAATGGAGGGGGGGGGGGGGGGCCAAAA